GACATAAAATGAGCGTTTCTGATCGAAAACAAACCAAGGTAAACGGACTGCAGAAGGTTCATAAGTGGTTCATTTGCATGTGCCTAAATAATCTACTTATTCACGCGCTGGTTTTCCTTACCAAACAATTGTACAGAGCCGAAAGCATTTTATTTGCATGCCTGCTTTAGCTCATGCATGAAATTTTTAACTGCAATGGTAGCATAATTTTATCTGATCGTTTCTCCATTCGTTTTATCGGTATTGTTGCTAATCGTTTGTACTCAGAAGACGAAAGCCTGTAATTAGCGTGACTCGGTTGACACTTAAGAGTTAGGAACAACTTGTTCTAATATTAGTATCTGTCACGCAAACTTTTTTACTCTTTTCCTAATCTCCAGATTGCATCTAGCTTTAGTTTCAAATACAACTAGCTCGATTGAATGACCTAAATTCTCATAAGTTTTTCGGCTTTCTTTGTTCGACAAACTGCCACCACTAAATCTTTGATTGAGTTTGTTTCTAAATAAAATGAACACGTGCACGGATTATTCAGAAGTGTAAGTGCAAAGTCGAACTGCTCTCTAATAAGAATACTGTATTTTTGAGCCACTGTGTTTCGCTAATAGCTATTTTATCAACAAGTGCATGACTGCATCCTTCTTTGGAATTGTATGGCGTTGTTAACAATTTTACGGTGTCAAATATTCAATTTTACTTACCATATCATTATCTTGACCTAATAGATTGAATTTATTAGCACTATCTGCGTGTCAATGATATATATCTTTTATTTTAAATCCAAAAGCTGTCCATGCTCGAGATGAAAACGTTAAAAGTCTTAAAGACACACATGTGGTTGTGGTGGGAGGTGGATATGGTGGAATTGCTGCAGCAAAAAAATTAAAAGATCAATGTAAAGTGACATTAATTGACGCCAGGGACGCCTTCCATCATAATATGGGAGCTCAGAGATCCTCTGTGGAGTCAGGTGATGCAAATTAGCCATAGCGTAGTTCCAAATTGCTAAGATCAATATAAAATTGGCATAACTGCTGGTCTCTGAGGAGCTCTTTATTAAACTCGAGCATGCATATATCCAGTTATGCAATCCGTTTTGATCCTCTCCTAATCCATTGCCATTCACTCATCGTATAAGTTAATCATTGCCTCTTTTGATTTTTCCTTCCTCACTGGCTTGATTTTTGTGGTTCCCGTTAAACGAAGGTTGTGAACTAAATACCTACGATTGATATACATAGACGGTACATCCGTCCTTAACTTTGTGGGGATAACTTTGTTTATATTTTTATAACATACAGCGAAAATGAGCAGAGATCAAAACAATGGAAAAGTGAGTATTAAGTGAGGATTTGAAAAGCAATGAAACCAATTCTCTACGAACACTTGGCATAACAGTTTCATTGAAACATCAGTGACAGTTCATAATTTTCCTCCACATGTCATTTCGGAAACAATTGTTAAAATGAGTGATTTCGTTTGCTGGAGTTACTCAGTTGGAACAGATCACATGCAGATTTAAAACTTTCCTTTTCAACACAGGGTTTGCCAAAAAGTGTTTCATTTCCTACGGACCAACATTTGGCGAAAGCTTTAAGCAAGGAAAAGTTGTTAGTATTGATTTATCCATGAAGACGGTAACACTGGAAACTGGCGAGAAAATTGCTTATGATGACCTTGTACTTGCAACTGGCACTGGTGGCCCATTTCCCGCCAAAATTCCCTTGGATACAAACAAAGACAAAGCCATTGAACGATATGAGGATTACACCAAGCTAGTAAGTGTTGACGTGAGAGAACGAAGCTATGCTGAAGCGAAATGCCCGATTTATGCCTTATTACTATAAAATCTTCAATCTTTCTATTCTTTGTTTCGATTCAGGTCAAAGACGCCATGAAGATAGGTGTTGTGGGTGGAGGAGCTGTTGGAGTGGAAATAGCCGGAGATATCATGGAGGACTACAAAGACAAGGCTGATGTGTATCTCATACATCCCAGGGAAAATCTAGTCAATGAAGAAGTTAACGAGACCTTCCAGTCCACGATCAAGGCAAAGCTTGAAAGTTTAGGAGTCACCATGGTTCTTGGTATGTCTCCGCTACATTTATACTATTGATAATAATTGTTTTGTTAATTCTCTTCGATCTTACAAACATTAAAAAAACGAAAATAATAAGACACACACATAAAAAATGAAAAGAATATTAGGGATGCCTGTTAATGCCATTCTGCCTCTCAGCTTGTGTCTAGCGTCTTTTTGCCTGCCTGTCCGTCTGTCTCTCGTCTGTTTGTCTGCCTGCCCGTCTACTGAACAACCTGTCAGTCAGTTAGTCTTTCTGTCCGTTAGTCTGTCCGTCTGTGTGGTTGCTGGCTGACTGATTAGCTTGCTGACAGTCTATCCGTCAATCGGTGTGCTTTAATAGTGGGTTGGATGCTTCTCCTTGGATCTAGCAAACGTATGAATTTCTTTGCCACGCAGGTGAACGAGTTATGAATATGGACGAAGTCAAAGGGAAGGGATATCAAAACGTCATGCTCGTCACCGATAAAGGAAGGCAAATGAAAGTAGACCTGGTCATTCCGTGCACTGGTCTAAAAGTGAACACCGAAGCTTACAGGAAAAGTCTAGGTTAGTCATTGTTCCTGATCTTGGTGAAATGACGTCCACAACTGACTTATAACAAGGAGCTTATGTGCATGTAGTGGCAGACCAGGAGGTTAACCGGTGTGACCAATTCAACAGAACAGCACGAACTCAGTTGATCTTGTAGTCTGTTCGTCCGAGTTAGCGTAGTCCAAAAAAGGGCCTTTGTCTCTGGCAGAGATTGACTTCCGGTTTCCGCGTTTGAATATCTATCTGATAATTTGCGCTCGGGCTGTAGAAAAGTCAAGAGGGAGCTTTAGCAACGAGAGCGGCAAAGGCAACGAGAACGGCAGAAAACAGCAGGCTTAATGAGCAAAAACAATCGCCCTGCACGTGCTTTAACATTTTGGTAAATTTCTTTGCCGTTCTCGGCAAAACAACAACGTGAAATAACCAAATTTTAGGTTTTCTCGAGAACGTGTGCGGATGACGGTTAATTTTTCTTTCTTTTTCCTTACTTTAACGCCGTTCGTAGTGATATAGTCTCTGAATAGTTCGCCAGCATTTTCCCAGTGAAACACATCGGAATAATCTCGAAAGAGTTATAAAAACGAAAAGTTAGATTTCGACACGACGTTTTCGTTGCCGTTGCCGTCGTCGTTGCTAAAGCTCCCTAATGACTATCCCTGACAAAAGTTCTACACACGCCTAAATTTAACTGGACAATAAGACCACATGACTCAAAAAAACTCTTGTAACGTAAATGGATACACATACTGAGGACTGAACGCAATAAATAAGAAAAGGTCATAATGCTTTGCCTTTTGATTACAGGAGGTAAAATGAATCGACTTGGTCGTCTAAATGTCGATGACTTTCTACAAGTGAAAGATGTTTCGGATGTGTACGCAATCGGGGATTGTAACGATGTTCCAGAGATCAAGCTGGCGTATGGAGCTGAAACACAGGGAAAATACATTGCTGACAACCTAAAACTCAAACACGAGGGGAAAGCGATGAAGCCTTACAATGTTAACAGTAAGTGTTATCATCTGACGTTATCGTGCCACGGGGAAAGGAAAGTTGGCATTTACCTATAGACTTTTTTTAAATAGATCACTAAGCGATGATCAATAGAAAAAAAATTTGGATTGTACTTTTAAAGCAAGGTTTGAAACTTAAAGATATATTGGGTAAATAGATTGCTACCATTCTGCAAAATTATGTAAATACGCTGTTAACGGTTTTAAAATTGATCGAGTGATACTCATTGTAAGGGGCAGAGCTTAGGCCTTTATTTGCAGACATCTCTGTAATGTGTTTCAAAACATCTTTTGAGTTCTAAAAATATCAACATTAAAAAAATTCGCCAACAAAAAGTCGACTACGAAGTTATAATAACCACATGGTGAAAAACCTTGCATCCACATTTCCTCGGCGCCATTCCCTAACATATGCAGACCGTTGAACCATTCACTCACAATTTCTATCATCCACTTCTTATTCTAGAGAGTGTTTTCATGGTGTTGTGCTGCGGACGATCAGGGGGTGCCGCTCAAGTATGGAGGGGGTGGGTGTTTGGAGACTGGTTCGCTTCAAAGATCAAAGGTCAAAGTGTGTTCACTCCAATGCAGTGGAAAAATATGGGGCAGAAGATGCCTGAAGATTAAATTTACCTTTTTCATGGCTACGTTGAAACTCTAAAGATATAACCTCTCATTCCACGGTTCCTTCTCTTGCAGTACTTATTCACTGCTAAGATATTTTTCTGTTTGTGTTCTTCAGTCTCATGAGTGAAGATAAAGGTTTTCACAAAACGCACTTGTATTTTTTCTTACAACACAAAATAAAGTATATATGTATGAGCCCAGTGGTATAAATGTATTTTTGAACGCAAGGTAATTCACGATCGAAATCAAAAGATCATAAGTTAATACACAGACACTTCAGACGCCCATGGAGTACCTAATGGATGCTGAAAAGGATGGACTAGAAGTGAATAGAAGCACAACACGCACCGTGCAATCCAGGGGCAAATAATGAATAGTGTATATTCCTCAACTAACCTCTCCGTCAAAGACTGCTTCCCCTCTGGGGAGGAGGGTTACTTATCAAAGAAAGCCATCAAAAAATTAAAGTCGTTTGCAGAACGGGCACGGAGGATTGAAAAAAAAAATATAGCAACAATAAAAAGAACAAGATCAACTTCCTTTCGGGGGTAAAGGAAACAGAGAACTTTTTTCCATGGTCGACTTTAAGGGAAGGAGGCTCAGTACAGCATTTATCTAGAAAAGAATGTTTACGAACCGAGAAATCATCTGGAAGCGAAGGATCTTTTTCACGACTGGGGTAAAATGGCGATGCGGCTTTGAGAAATTAATTACGGCGGGTATGTTAGAGACTATGAACGTTCGAGAGACGATGTAATGCTCACACTAAACTGTTTGAGCGGTTTAATGGAAGATGGACCCAATTGTTAATCATACAGCTAGCACATGTTTTCAAGCTGTTAAGTCACAACCAGGTTAAATAAATTGGATCTTGAATACTTTTATCATAAGTAAATGAATGACGCGATGAATGAAAAAATAGGTCTTCTATAATAACTTGATTTTTGCCTAATAGTATCCATTTTTCTTTTAACTTCATTATATATTCTCTATCTTATCATAGATAGATATTCTCTTACTCAAAGACAAATTTATGTTTTAATAACTGGGGGCGTGGTCGGAAGAGGCCGTACGATTGCCCGTTTCCCGGATGATTTCTTTTTCATTTTATCTTTGGATTTGCCTTCTTTCTTTACAGCTCCTTCTGAACTACTTGAACTTGAACTGCTGCTACTGCTACTGCTACTACTGCTATCTTTGTTAGACTTTTTCTTGTATTTCGTTTTGACGGCATGATGGGTTATTCGTTTTTTAACAAGCTCAAGTGTTTTTCTGCAAGAAATAAAAGTGAAACGGAACACCTCAAAAGATTTCCTACTATGCCAGCTGATGCATACGCAAGACTTAAAGAGACAGAAGAAAGAAGCGGGGTACTCTCTGGATTAACCAGTAAACAAGAGTAAAACCGAGTAAGCCACGCGCAAATAGACAAACTGAGTATTCAATTTAATGAAAGGTCAACCTCGCAACACATCGTCTTAATAAGAGAATCCATAAACGTTTACGAGGATAACGAAAATCACCAAAGATACTGATACAATTTTTTATAAGATAGATAGTTGCGTCTTCTCGAAAACACAAATGAGCTACACTCAAAACAGACGAGTAAAATGAAATAAAAAAGATTTACTTACAAGGTGCTTCCTTGATGTTTTGCAGTCGTTATTTTCTGTAAATAAACAATAATTACAATTAGAAATGATAACCACCAAAACGATAAAGGGACAGATTCTATTCTGTGAAAGGAAAAGAATAGAACAAAGGACAACAGCGAAGTGATTTTTCTTTGAAGAAAAACTGAATTAAACTAATACTTACTTATTATAATTCACAACTATAATTCACAATTATAATTCACAATTATAATTCACAATTATAATTCACAATTATAATTCACAATTATAATTCACAATTCACAAGCTTGCTCACCTTAAAACCAGCTTACGACGTTCCTTTTTTATCTTCGAGTTTCAGTGTAATTTAGCATGTTAAGCTTTGTTTATTAGTGCTTGCGGTTAAGTTTGGCGTGAAACGATCAAATCAGGCATCAAAAGATTAAAGATTAACAAGAATGATTACCATTTCCTAATCATTGATCAGGGTTACTCTGGTAACTGTTATAAAAGCTAGATTATAATAATAATTATTGGGTTGTAATGATAACGTCACTTCACTGAGTAAGTAAGCGATTCATTAAAAAGTCAAGGATTACAAAAGGTTACTATGGTTAGGACATTAGAAAGGATAGAATGTGATGAGCAACCGGTTAGAATTAATTAGTAAACTTCTAAACAATCAGCGTTCGTCTCTGTGGGTCGTGAATTTCCTGTTCTCCTTCACAAAACGAAGACATGGTCACCGAATTCACCATTCAAATCATAAATGTTTATTTATATTCACTTTTTTATAGGTAATCATACATGTTATGAAATATACTTCAATCAATATTGTAAACAATAAAATATCTCTTAGAAATAAGATTTTTGATTTATAAAGAAGCTTTTCGTGTGCAAATATTCCTTTCCTTTATCGTATTTACAATAAATCTCGCTGGCAAGTTGAGAAATTTACAGCCGTAATATTTAGATATCTTTGTTGTTTAGTATCCTAAACAAAAAGCTTATACGAGGAAGAACAAATCTGCATCTAAATGTCTGCGGTAACAAACAATCACACGATGGTAGATCACATGAAATATTCAACAGGTTTGATCCTCCCTGTAAATATGACTAATTTTGAAAAAAAAAAAAAAACAACAACAACAACAACAGCACCAACAACACCAACAACTAAAGCAATCCTCGAGCATAGTCATGTGATCTCTAGTTGGGCAAAAAAACACAACGAGGCGAATGAGTTCCATGAACTTAGAAGTAAATACCATAAAACTTTACATCGGTGACTTACCTATTATTATTTCATTGGTTGATTCGCAGGGGGTGTTTTATATATAGGCACAGAGGACATGGAGTGTACCTTGCAGCGAAAGGAGTATGATTTTGCCGTATGTATACTGCCATGTCATTTGTAAAGCAATTGAAACAGTCATATAGGAAATCTTTAAATAAATTTGCTTGTGCCGTAGAATTCTACATTCATTTTCGCAACTGTCCTATTATTTGAAAAGTAAATTAACGATACACTAAAGCAACTCCTTGCGGGCTTCAAAGAGCTGCACTGCGAGCAAAGGTCTATAAATTTAGGAAATGTTAGTGCTTTCCATGTAAGCCATATTGATCAGTCACTTAAATGAATGAACGTTAAGTTCTTACGTTTGCTCTGGCCCGAGCTAAAGCGCGAGATACCAGCAACTGGGCCTCCAACTCAGAACGTTCTCTAGCAGACACCTTCATGCGGGAGTTACCAATAGGATGAGTTTCCTCTTGGGATGTATATCGACTTTGCCCTCTTACAGGCTGAATATGAGGCTGTATCTTCTTTTGCGGGGTGGCGTCCGTAGGCTCCAAAGCGGGTGGTGGACCGGTTTCATGCGGAATGTTGACTCTACTGTCTTGTTCGAAACGGTCAAGGTTTGACTTAGCCCGAGCTAAGATCATGCGCGCACCGTCGTAAGAGCTGGGAGGCTCCTGTCTCCGTTCAGGATCTACCATGTAACGCGGAGACGTACCAATGCTAGGTTGAGGTGCGGTGGCGACTGTAGGACGATTACCCAGCAAATATCTGGAACCCTGAAAAACGCAGAAAAATAATCTTTACACAGAATGATGTGGAAGATGGTTAATCCTGAACTCTGTTTGAACAGATAGGGAAAATGTCGGGTCTGCACTCGAGCCAAATGGCAACAGAAAGTTTCCCGGTCTCCGTATTGGTACTCCCCCTGGATGGGATGGTGGAGTGTGTGGTAGTTTGCCCCCAGAAATGACGTCATGTGGTTTCCTGGACACTTCACCGGTACCCATTTATACTCCTGGATGGAGCAGGACAGTATGCGAATAACATGTCTTGCCTAAGAACATAACGTGATGACAGAGCCAGGTTTCTAACCCGGACCTCTCGAAAGTGGAGTCCAGCACGCTATGTATTTATATAAAGGAAATTTCGTACCGGCAACGATACCACTTTTCGATCGGGACGTGACGATCGTAATGGTGAAGGTGTATAATGAGGCATTGTAGGGTCCGTCCTGGCAGAAGTTGGCCTTCCAGATCCGACAGGCCTGGAAGCTCCGGGATGCTGTGAGGCGGACGTTGGGCGGCCTCTAGACACTGGCGGCCTCGCTATATATCCATGTGCATACTGTGTAGGAACCAGTGGACGTGTTTGATTCTGATGAGGGTTCACAAGGCGTGTATGGGGAAGTGACGCAGGAGATAAATTTGGTTCTGTATAAATGTGATCGTCGTCGATAAATGTTGAGCCACCAAAGGCTTTCCTTGGTTCTGATGGGGGAACGCTTGGAATGGTGTCTCCATTAACATGTATTCCTTGATCATACTGAGGAATATATGGATCCAAACCTAATCAGGAAAAAAAAGTCTTAATTTCTATCGTCATGTGCACAACTCTTCAATACTACAGGGAGCTCTAGTTGATAAAAATAAGGTGCTTCAAAGTTATTAGGCCAATTATTATTAATTATTTGTGCGACTGCCGTTGATTGTAAAGTTTAGCTGTCAGGCATCACATATGATGAATATTATTAAAAAACAAACCAATTTTGAAAAATTACAATTTGGATAAAATAAATATAACATTTAGAGTTTCAGATTTCCCTTTAAACAAAATAAATGTATCTTATTAGACGTTTTGTTGTTTAGAATCGCTGAGTATTTTTTAAGAGTTGTGCCGTATTTTGACGAGCCCGTAGGGCGAGTCAAAATACAAATAACGAGTAAAAATACTCAGCGATAGAAGAGAACAAAACGTCTAATAAGTAATTTATTATCCAACACGCCAAACTGTTGTTTCAGCGGGCGAATTTCGCGGATATTTATTTACGGGGAGTGCGTGACAGAAGTATGCGAAGCGGAACGGAATTGGCGCGTTGTTGTGTTGCTGTTTCTATTTTCTTCATTAAATGAAGAAATGTTTTGGTCGTCAAGCTGTTTTTCTTCGTTCGATTCATCTAATGAACTTAGATCTATATTTACCAGCCATTCTGACTCTTCGTCGTCGGAAATATGACTCAAATTGTCCGCCATTTGTTTTTTTTTTGTAACTACAACCCAATTCTTCGCTTGCGCGATGCGAGAAAGCCTGTTTAACCGGTACTCTATAATAGACGACTACAAATACCGCGTGATATTTGTACTCGTCTATGGCGATATTTGTACTCATCTAGGTGTAGTTGGATAATAAATGACGGTATTCAATCGACGCGTTTTGAATTTCACGCACTTTCGAAATGGCTCCTTTTTAGGGGTAGGAAAGGAGAGGAGTGGGAGAAGGTCCTTTATTACTCGGCCCAGAATTCTCGTAAATCGCGGAAGTGAACAAGTAAAAGCACGATTTTCTCTTTTCCGACAATTACTGTTTGGTATCCCGTACACGGGTACTATTAACTTGAGAGTCACAAGCTCTACTTGATCAGCCTTCTCATTGATAAATTTAGGTTCCCAACCCACCGTCCATATCCTCGTAGTGAACCTCTTCCTCTGGATAATCGGGTTGTACCAGAGGACTTGTCATCATTGGCCAGACTGGGTACCCAGTTTCCAGCAGAAAATGGACTCGATCTCTTTGCTGTCGGCGGGGCGAAACCTGGCAAAAATGAATAATTAAAAAGCAATGACTTGTGACTTGAGCTTTGGAAATGTTTTAATTTTTTCCTTTTGCCACGTCTCTCATCAAACTCAAGATTAAAAACACAGTACGTATAATGGAAATCACTCATAATTTGTACAAACTACATCAGTACAATTGATGAAATTCCAAATTTAAAGTCCGGTTTCATCGTCAAAGAGGATTGTCTTTCACCACCTACCGGCCGTGTCTGAGGCACTTCATAGACCGGCATGGGCGTGGACTCCGGTGCTTGTGGTTGCCACTCCTGTTGAATTTGAATAGATGAATGAAATAGCTCATAAATGAAAATAAGGGAGAAGAAAAGAGAAGGATAGAAAATGTCAGATATTTAAAAATCAACCATCAAGTTTTGGACGGGAAACATGGAAAAATATATTTATCTTAATCTTTCAAACCTGGATTAGCACTTTGTTCTTTCCAAAAAGTTTCTTTTCAAGGTGAGCAAAATTTTTCTCTTCTGTCAAAAATTGTTTATTTCATCTTTACATGCTCACTTTGGAGGCTGGTTGGCTGCATGTGATGCTTTAATGCATGTGATGCTTTAATGTGACAGCGTGATGCTGTTAGTGAGCTTCTATGCGCTAGCTGATGTTTGGCTGTGTAGCCGCGTGATGCGGTTCCAGTCAATACCCACTAATTGACCCTTGCTCACCATAGAGTCTCCTGTAGCGCAGTGGTTAGAGCATCCGACTAGATCACGGAGGGTCGTGGATTCAAATCCCATCTGGAAACTCGATTTTTCTCTTCTATTAAAATTTGTTTATTTCATCTTAAAATTGTTTTTACTTGTTTTATTTTGTTTTTGGTACAAAACTGGTTTTTTCGTTTTTTGTCAATGTTCAAAATCTGTTGAACGATGCAGCAAAAGGAAAAAAATTACCCCAACGTAACGCAATAGCCATTCGTGTTTTCAAACCATCTTTCGAAGAAGATGTTAACCAAACAAAAAAAAACAAGTCATTGAATAAAATAGCCACCGATTCTTGTCAAGAAGCATGTTCACTCCATGAGCTAGTTTACCTCACTGTGCGGTCTGACGGACACGAGGCGAACACCAGGAGTTTCCTTGATAGTCCAAGCGGTTTCTCGTTTTGCCTCTCGAGCAGCTCGGCCAATCGCGAGAGGCGGCACCTTATGATGAAACGATGGTTGATGAGATGACGTCCAAAGATATATATTACTACAGGGAAAGTTTTGCGTCATGACGAAATGATGATGGACAAAATAAAGTTATGATTAAGAGAGACCAAAACTAACTAAAAGTTGACTACGTGACACTGAGGGAAGTGGATACAACTGCTTAACTTAAATGTGCGAGTTAAGTACCTTTGCTCCCCTTCTTTTCTCTTTTTCCTTTTGTTTTCTCTTTTTCTCTTCGGCTTTGTCGTCTTTCCTCTTTCCCTCTGAGTCGCTACCCGAGCTGCTACTGCTGCTGCTACTCGTGCCCTTCGAGCTTGAGGTACCGACTTTGTTTTTTCGCCAACGGTCGGCACGGGATCTTCGCTTACGTCTGTGAAAATCAATTATTATTGGATACATTAAAACTAAAAATTCATCATTCAGCCTTCAGATAGCGAAGACCAATGGACGGATGAACGAATTAGGATGGATCTAAGACACGAAATATACATATACACACTACACAGCGTGTTATTTCTCGTTGAAGTGGTCCTGTCTAGGTACTAATATGCTACAGAAATACTGATGATGAAAAAAAAAACGGTACTAGATGTCTCTATTTCTTAGGGTTTCAAAGAAGGGTTCTACGTAACGACGACGAACAATAGAGTTACTTACTCTGCTGTTAGGCTTCGAGGTGTTGTTGGACGGTCCTGTTAAAGAAAAGTATACCACTTAGGTGAGTCTCATTACACGCACACCTACTTAAAGTACTGAATTTGTGGCAGCACAGCTGTTAGCTTGTTCCGGGGACTCAGTTTATGGGCACCTTCCAGCTCATATTTGAGGGCCGAGGGTCTGGCAAAGGTTAGAATATTATTTGCTAACCACAAATAGTTTGGTTGAGTGACTGGCGCAAAGTAAATTTGATGCAATTTTGTGAAAGCCATAACGTGATTCAATCATTTTAAGGGTTCTCACTTTTCCTATTCGTGAAGCATAATGCCACTAAATTTATCCTCAACTAGTTATCACTAAAAATAACATGGAAATAAATTTTAAGAGCTCGAGACCTCTGATTTTTCTTTATCCGGTTCCAGCCTTTCTTCTTTTTCCAGTCTCTTCAACTTTTTATCCTTTTCGCGTTCTTTTTCCCTCATATCTTGACGGAGTTTTTCTCGATGAAGCATTTTATTCCTCCATCTTTCTACGTTTGGCTAAATTGATAAAAACAGCAGATACAGCTATTAGAGCTTAACGTCGTAGGCATGAGTGGATCTGAGAATCAGTATCAAACATTATGTGGGAGACGCTTTGACTCAGACTGTCGTCAATCGGTTAGACCCTGGCTTTAAGCCGCAGGCAGCTGGTGATTATGTTGTGTTCTAAGGCCAGACACTTAACTCTCACAGTTCCTATCCACACCATAAAGTATACGTCAATAGCTGCGAAATTTCTGCAACACTTGCCAAAATCACACGGGGCAACCTCAAACGGAGAAGTATACCATCAATGGAAAGAAGCCATGCTCCTGTTTGCTTCTAAACTTGTGTGCAGCAATAAGGAAGTTTTCATGTCATTTTTCCAAGACATTTTGGGGTCTTAAATGAAGTCTAGACCTATACTTACTCATAAAATCATGTTTCTTTACAGAGAAATCTGGCTTGTTTTAAAATACTTGAAAGTATTATAAATCTGTCTTTGTTTACAGATGACAAACATATTGTGAACAGGCCTTACTGACTTTTTGACTGTTTACTTTGCTGTTTACCTTTAACATTAGTGTATCTTCATCTTCATTTAGTTCTGCATCGTTAGTAGCAACTATTTTTTGAAGTTCAATCATTTTCATTTTATCCAGCCAAGCCTGCAGTGGATAGATGCGTAAAGTATTCTATCGTTTTTATTCAGTTACGTATTTTACCTTGAAGACGTCGCAATTTATTCAACAGCACGTACACTACGACAGTTTATCTTAAGTATTCAGACATCTGGATCCATTAAACTTATTTTTCCTCGATAAAGGAGTGCGATTCAAACAGAGTTTGCCATGTAACACCTTTGACATATTTAATGTTATTTTTACATAAATAGTGATATCAAAGTATTGCCGGGGAAGATTATATAAATTCAAAATAGCTATAATTTAATACTTGATTTCGATGCCTAACTGCACCTGTTAGGGAGAACAAACGTTATAGACAGTCATTATTGAAGCATCTTTTTAAATCGTGGTTAGATCAAATAGCAAAACTACAGTACTCACAGTTTGTTAAGTATTGGATGTTATAAGTTAAATGCATGATGCACGGTTTAATATGAGATGAACTCACATTTAAGTCTTAGCAGCATTATATCTGATATATTGAATGGTGTTACACTTATCTTCCGGAAACAACTAGATAATTCAATGAGAATAGAGAGTATTGGAAACGCCAGGGGTAATTTGGGAACAATAAGTTTTCTTTGTCTTGTTTCATTTGGAATTCCTTTTTTAGTTTGTTTTCTTCGTTCAAGAGTTAAAAATGCTTTTATCTAAATGTACAGCGCTATACCTGTGGTACACCTGATTCATCAATGATTCGTTGCTTTTCTTTCTTTAGCTCTGTTAATTTCTCTGGATCAGAGTGATCCTTTCCGACCAGAGACGTCTTCACAAGAGGAGGAAGTTGTGTGAAACGTAAAGGCTTCTCTTGACGACCATGACTGCCGTACAGAAGCTTCTCATCTCTGAATTGTGGAATGTTCTCCACAACTCCTGCTAATTGCGCCATCTACGTAAGGATAAATATATAATAATAATATTAATAATAATAACAATAATAACAATAATAACAAAAACGACCTACATATAAAAATCGCGAAAGCCTGAACTACTAGTTCGTATTGAAAGAATTAAAAAAAAACGTGCATCGAAATTATCCTTATAAAAGTAAATTACATTAAAAAAATATATGAGAAGGGAAATGACACTCTTACTCTAAAAAACTGTAAAAAAAAATTTTAAAAATGTCTAGCCTATATTTGCCATAGCATTGTCAATTAAAAAATGTCTCAAATGTTCTTCTCTTCTTTCTTGTACCTCTAAAGAGTAAGAGGGCGCACCGTAAGAGCGCAAATGAGACTTTGGCTCTAATAATAATAATAACAATAATAATAATAATAATAATAATGATAATAATAATAATGATAATAATAATAATAATAATAATAATAATAATAATAATAATAAGAAGAACTATCTGAAAAAAGCCCTCGCATATGACCCCTGGTTCTAGGACTCGACTCCAAGCCACTTGAGTGGGAAGCAAGTGATCTACGAATCCTCCGCGTCAACTCTTCTCCCGTTCTTGGAAAATTGGCATCAAAATACGTTTTCGACAACGACCATGGTAAACAAACTTTAAGTAAAATCAGTAGGACTCAGTAAAAACCTTTAAATGACCATGTACCTCAATATCTTCGTGGGAATCATGTGAAGTCTCAGTTCTTCTTATGTACCGCTGATTAGAGTAATCCGGATCAGGAGATTTAGGGCCCTTTCTCGAACCTTCGTTACTGCTTGAACTGGATATGCAATTCAAAACAAGAGAATGAAACATGCTTCAACTCGATAGGAGAATAAAGAGTTGTCTTCAGTTACATGGGGTACAGTCTTGCACAAAATGTTTGGGATATCAGCCTAAAGTGGCAATGCTGGACAATTGCATCCATCAACAGAGCAATACTGTAATGGGGGAAAGGGTGGATGGGGGTGTTATCTATGAAAGAACTGTTTATCGATGTCCGATACACTCGTCAAAGATTGCAAGATGAGACAAAAAGAGAGGAGCTTTGCCAGCGCATTACAGTAAAGTCTTTTATAAACAGCGACTTTTTTTTATCAGCCAACTAACTAACTAAATAAATAAATATCATAACGAAAGTCAAACTGAAATAAAAAAGCAGATTGAAAGCAAAAAAGCCAGACAGAGATCAAGGATCAATCAAAAGATAAAACACAAAGATCTTTGGAGACAAAAATTTATGCCCTTTGAATGGAGGTGTCTCTTACATGTAACTGAGGGAAAGCCCTAAAAGAGAGGCACCTAACCTTCCAGGATATCCAAATTCTTCTTTAAAATTTCTCAACATTTAGACGTTTACGTACCTCGCTCTTTTCACCGTTGGAGTGCTGTAGGGATTTTTAGGGGAAATCGTTTCGGGAGAAGCCTGGACCTTTACTTCAAGGCTTTTGTATGGAGCCTCTTTGGGGTTTAAGTTCTGCAGAAAATTGAGAAGATCCGGTGACACAGATGAGCATATTTTTTACTTCCAATTAAAAACAAGCACTTCTTTAGCTAAAAGTGCTGAGGATTGAGCTATGTACCGCCTGTAACAAATCACAAAGAAAGTTCGAAGCCTGACTTAACCTATTTATTAAGCATTTTGGTACACAGATTTTGAAAAGGTTCAGTCCCAAGTTTAAACATAACATATTGAAATAAGTATCAAGCAAACACTGAAAAGTTTGACAAGCTATAATATTAGTAGGGGAATGTAAACTTAATATGATGAGCACACTGCAATTACCTTAAATGGATTTACTTTTTTCTTTCTTCCAGCACACCTGACCCATATACAGGCACATAAAAGAAACAGTAGTACTGCTGAAGAAACAGCAATAGCGGGAATAATAGTGGCCCAGTCTAAGTCGGCTTTAGTAGGTGGTATTGTAGGCACCGTAGTCTGTGTCTTTTTAACAGCGTATGGTCGTAGGGTGACCTGTAACAAAGAGAGAATGTTATGTTATGTAAGGGGGACACACTGGCCTGATGATTATGGCGCAGCTTTCTCACATTTGATCTGGGTTGGAGCCTTGGCGACTGTCATTTTTTGGTGGTCTCTGGACGGACACTTAACCCTCACGGTGGCAGAAAGGAGTACGTACGAGTACCAACAAACTGTCAAGGAAAATTCTGAGGGTAACTTGCCATACAATTGAATTCCATCCAACAAGAGAAGCAATGTTTCTAGTTGCTCCATGCATGCTACAGAATTCTGCAGCTTAACGAGTTAGTTTCGTATTGTGAACATTCATGGTACAAATCGTTGAGTTTATAATGGTCTGGTCGTGGTTAGAATACACAAGATCGAGCTCAAGTTACCGTTAGAAAGAAACAAAAAATAGGGTGAAAAAAAAAAAACAAAAACGAGAAAAACAAACAAACAAGGAGAAATGAAACAAAAAAGATACAACAAGAAAGCAAGGAAAGAAAAAACAAAAACATTAAGAAAAACGGACAAACAAGAAACAAGGAACAAAAAACAAACACGGAAAAACCAACAAACAATAGTAAAGAACAAACAAACGAGAAAAAAAAAGAAAAAACAAACGAGGAAAAAAAACAGAAACAAAATAAATGAATAAGACGTGTACCCCATATCCCAAGGTGGAAACCATCTCAGCTTCGCTTAGTCTGTTCATTGTCTTCACAATATGTTCCGCAGATAACATAGTGAATCCCTTAAAAACTCGGTATTCTATGTCAATGACTTCCTCTCCTACAATCGCTTTTGCTCTTCTAATGGTTTCCGCCTGCAGCAAGAAAGTACACAAGAAACAATATCGATCTACGGATTTGGCTTCTGTCGTTTTATGAAGGCTAGAAGGGTAGAGGTGCGAGAAGAATAGCAACAGAAGATTTTAAGTATTAAGTATGCTTCTTACCAATACAGTAATATTATCGACTTCTCTCCTGAGACGGTTTCCTCGATCTTTGTCCAGTCGAACCGAGGTCCTCCTCTTTCTGGGATGAAAATCAATTCTGGCGTCAGAGTGAACACGACGAGGCTTGTTAAGGTGTTGCACGTCCCTCCTTTTTCGCTCACTTCCTTTCCGCTGACCCCACCTGAACGCTTCTGCAAGTCGTGATTCGATTTGCACGCGGAAGGAGTCAGCATTTTCATCCTCGTTCTCTGGAACAAGTATCTGAATACCAACAAGGCCTTCAGTATCGTTTGCATTAGCAGTAGGGCGTACAGGCTCAGTTGGCAACTCTATGGTTGAACTTGCGGAAATCAAAACAGTTTTTGAGGGCAAATAGCTTTCCTCTGGTATAATTGATGTTGTCTCCTTTACGGTGCTCTCCAAAAGTTTGGCCGTCAACAGTGCTGTTGTTTTTGAAATTGAGGTAAGAGAATTTGCCGGGGTTTCTGTCACTAAAGTGGCTTTCGCACTCTTTTCAGAGGCGATGAAACTCTTCGTTGTCATTGTATCCATCTTCGTCAGCAATGTTGTGATGCTCCTGGTTGTGGCGACCTTGTGCGAAGATGTTCTCTGAAGTGGAGATGAAAGATCAGAGGAGGAGCCTTGAGGAAGCGACGTGGCAATAGAAGTTTTCTTTATAGTGCTTGTGTCCGTTACAGGGGAAGACATAGAACTTCTCACAGATGTTGGCGGCAACGTCTCCAAACTACTCTCGGCCACGGTTATTGAAGCTGGACCTAGAGTTAGTTGTCTCGAAGGAATAAAAGTCTCGGTCGAAGACAAAACTGTAGCACTTGTAAACAATACCTGCTTTCTTACACTACTTCTAGTTACAGGGGACAAAGTTATGAAGCCCTTTGCTGAAGACACTTTGATAGTAGTAGCAGGGGAATGATAGGATGTAGGCTGAACTGGAGTAAAAATACTTTTTGAAGAAATCACAGAGTGCCTAACCACAGTATCAGTGAGGCTTGACTTTATGACATCTGTAGTCACCACCAAGCTGGAAAAGCGCGTTCCGGGAATACCAGTAGAAATGGAAGATTCAGTCGTTAGAACTGAACCCACAGAGGTAGGAGATAAGACTTGTTTACTGTCAGTCGCTGTCTTGGATTGCAATAGCACTGTTGATGTTGTTAGCCCATAGCTACTGCTTGGAAGAATTAGTAGGGTAGATTTCGGTAAGATAGCAGAAGCATTTGAGGTTAAATAAGTGGCTGATGAGGATACCGTGGACCGGATAGGTCTATAACCCAGTGAATCACTAGAAACCAATCTGGCAGCCGTGGTGAACTGTTTTTCCACAGTGCTACTAGTCAACAAGGTCTCTGTTATGGATTTCGAAACAGCATAAGTTACTGCTGGTGCCACAGACGATAGATCTCGTGTGGCAGTTTGAGTACCATTTAGTGAGGTCATCGTTTCCGCACTAGTACTTGAAAGTGTCGTATTTGCTGATTTTCCCGAAGGAGACGGTGAGCTTCCTCGTACAAAGTAACTGGAGAGGCTAAGGCTGCTTCGTGTGACTTCTGTCGTTAAGTTCTCACGGGTCACTGTTGGTACCGTCGACACTTGCGAGACACTGCGCGTTGTGAGAACATTAATTATTGACAGGCTTGACCTCATGACGGGTGAAGAGGTAGTACTGCCTACGATACCCTTGTTAGAAGTGATGACTGCAGTATTATACGAACTTGAAGTTGAAGAATTCAAGAAAAGAGTTGTGTTAACTAACAACGATGTAGACGTTGAAACTCGAACGACTGTGGCAGCAGTCTCCGCTGACGAGGACAGAACTGTTCCAACACTTGAGCTGAGGATCTCACTCGAATATGAGGGTCGGATAAGGTGTGTTGTGCCTGATACCATGGTCGATACATTTGGTGTAAGCAATGGTAAACCGTATACTGTACTTACAGTTTGATTTGCTCCTATCACAGAAGAAATAGAAGGTGAATGACGAGAAAAGCTAATGGTGCTGGGTGCAGCTGACGACATTTTACTCGGAGCCGTAGCAAGTGTCTCAACAAGACTGGAACTTATAGGTAATCTCATGGTTGATGATGCTAGAATAGATATCTCCAATTTCGAAGAGTTTACAGCAATCGTGGTTGGGCTGCTGCGAAATATTATCGCCGAAGACTCGAGCAATGTGGTCGCACTAGCATTTCCTACCGAATAGCTGGAAGTAAATGTTCTAGGAAGGAAGACTGATAACTGAGAGCTTCCCTCTGAGTGATTTGACAAAGCAACTTTTGACGAGCTTGTTACTTGTATGGCCATAGTAGCTGGAGCCGAAGTAAGGAATGATACGTTTTGGCTGATTACAGACTCCTTAGGTAAACTTGCACTCAGCGACGATTTGGTCATCAATACCATTGTTGAATTAGCGCTCGCCGAAATAGACAAGGATACAAATATCAATGATCCAAGCACCGCTGTACTCGACACCCATGCAGTAGACGAAGGGAACGGAGAAATTATGCTCGAGGTTGACGAACTGTCATTGAAATTTATACTCTTGAAAGCAGAGGTTCCTTGCGTCAATGAAACCGTTGTAAAAGCTGAAATTACAGAGCTTGCTTTTTCAGAAGAGTTTGTTACAGCTGAGGTTTTAATCATATCGACGCTCGACGAATAAGACGTCTCACGAAAGCTTGAACTTTCCGAATGAAATGAAATTGAGGTAGTAATAAACAATGTTTTTTTAAATTTGACAGATGAAGAATTAATTGTCAGTTCCTTTGAGTACGTTGAAGGCGAACTTCCATTCAATATGATCGACGAAGGAAGACTTGTAGTCGAAGAAGAGATGTAAGTTGCTGGCGACAATAGACTTGTGACACCCACGAGAGTACTTGTTTTATGAGTCGTATTTGATGTAACCAAGTAAGACTGTGAAGGTGTCATGTAAACCACCGATGTGGAGTTTAAAATTGAATGTGAGCTTGAGTCAGAGGTTGTTTTAGCACTTGATTCTCTCGCCACCGAAGTGACATTTATTGATTTTAAAGAAGTTGAAAGCGTTAACATCATCACCATGGTTGAAAACGAAGAGGTCGAAGATGGATAAAAGATGGCAGGTTTCTCTACAACCTTGAGAGAATAAAATGGATAGTCACATTAATTAGCTAATACTTACGAGCCATGCATGCAAATGTATTTACACATCTTGGTCACAATCGATAGGCGAACTTCAAGTCTCACAGCTAAATCTATAAACTGAGTATGACAGAATTTCACCAACACGATGATCATGTACAAGGATGTGAATTTCAGAGCAAACATTCCCGATATTTGACAGACGAACACCGATCAACCTTGTATAGAACTTAATAGAGTATAACTGAACATTTTTTTTTCTTGTAGGATTATCTTACCCTACATACAAGTTGTAGACACTTTTTAGATCATAAATTAACATGAGCGTAGTTCTCAAACGCTTCTGCGCCAATCGGATATTGTAGAGAAGACAGGTCAGCTGGGCGAGTGCAAATCACCAAACCAATCTCATATCTTTGAGATTTAAATGAGTGCTGGATAGGAAATTTTTACAAAGTGTACCAAAAAGCAAATACCTCATATCTGACGGCTGCCCCCAATCTCAAACTTGCTCGCAGCATAGTTTGAATGACGTTATAAGCAGGAAGTGGCTCACTAGCACTGGCGCTGGAACTTACATTCACAGCTTTGAAAGTTACATTCACTTTTGTGTCATTTGGTTCTCTCGCGATACTGACGATCTTCGAGAAGTAACGAAAAAAGGAAAAGAAACAATCTTAGTACAACAGATATGTGTGCTATCTCAGTCTCGTAGTTTCGTGTTGTCTGTTAAGAGTTCGTCAACAGAATGCAATGTACACATAATCAGTTTAGACCAATATGTTGGCTGTTGATTGTCAAGGATGTACTTCAGGCATGTGGACGGATGTCAAGCTGAATTTATCTCACAAAATGAAACAGACACGCAAAATAAAGACGAAAACAAATTCAAATTCTGAACCAATAAAACAATTTAAAACGACAGTAAAGACTGTTCTAGAAATATTTTCCACCTTGTATCTAAGAAAAAAGAATCACTGGAAAAGGCAACAAAAAAGTTAAAAAAATTTTAAAAGTGACGCAGAACACCCTTATTTCAGTTTTTCTTGACTGGAAAAGTGGCCATGCCCAATGATCGTTTTTTCAAATAAGAGAACAAAGGATTTCGTGTTTAATGCTCCAAATACAAATTCTAATCCCGTAATTTACCCACCTCTATTGTTATGTTTGCTGATGTTCCATCGGTAGATCCGTTCTCGTATGTTGCAAGAATCCCGTTCTTCATTTGCGCCCTAAAGGAAACATTGTTTATGTTTGTACTCAGAGAAACGTTAACGGCAAAACGGACAAAGATACCTGACGGTATCGTAATGACGGAGCTGGAAACAAATTGTTCTGTAGGGGACGGCCTTACTGGAGTCGAGATTGCTGTACCGCTTACAGTAAAAATCGAGATAACGCTTGAAAGATGCAGTTGCTTCGAGGCTGTGTTTGCCACGTCTAATGACGCCATTGTTGGCGTTGGTAAGTTTTGTACACTCCGTGAAGTAAAAGATGAATTTTGCGAAGTTTCTATTCTAGAGGAGGCATACGTAAACAAAGTGCTTCGGTCTGTAGTTGCTGATTTTATCACGCGTGAACTGGTGGCCACCACTAAAAATCCGCTTGAAAGATTTCCTTTGGAGGAGGGTGTCGCTAAAACATTTATAGATGGTACTGCTGTATATCTTGAAGTTTGTGACACTGCTAAACTTGTAGTTTGCGTCAGAGAGACACTGAATTCTGGAGTTGCTCTCGATTGTTCCACAAGACTCTTGGTGGCATTCACTGGCCTTCCCTCACTTGAAAAACTTGAGATTGTTGATATGAAGGCTGACGACAACCCCCTGAAGCTTGTGGTAGCTACGAGAAACTTACTAGATATTTGAACTTGTAAAGATATCACTGACGGATTAACATACGTCAACCGCTCAGTTTGCGACGTTTCTAGACCTCTTGTGTGTGTTAGTGACTTGTTAGTTTCTGTAGTAACTTGTGAGGCTACAGATGAAAATCCAGAATAACCTGTCTGAGTTACTGAAACTTTGCTCAGTGAATGGATTCGAGAGGCAGATATGTATGACATATTGAGAGTTCCCACTTTTGTTAAAATTTCCAAGCTGCGCGAGGACTCCAAACTCGAGATTTGCGACAACAACCCACTCTGCTGTGGAGTGAAAGATGCGAAAACAGTTGGCCCTGTAGTTTTAGTCGATGAGTACTCAAGAACTGTGTTTGATGAATTAAGGTAAGTTGAAATAGTCGATGATGCATTAGTAGATGGTGCTAATGTTTTTGATAGTTCCTGAATGGAGTAGGTTTTCAAACTCTTTGTTTGCGACAGATTCTCGCTTACTTGTTGCGTGGATGACAAAGTCACTGTCGAACTTGTTGTCACCAAAGGACGGACACTCGGAGAGTGACTGTGGTGAGGTAACGGACTCATCGTGGAATTAACCGAAGCCATCGTTGTGTACAATGAGACTGTTTGGGTTGAATATGGCGTCATCTGTGGTGTTAAATTCGAGACAAACTGTCGGGAGGTTTTAAAGCTGGTTTCCAAACTGGTAGCGACGACTTCGGTAAAGGATGATCTGAGCGACGACTGTTGCGTATTTGAAGATGTCACTGACGAATTAGGAGCAAGAACTGTGGCTGTAATACTTGTCAGTTTTGATGAAGACGGAACGGTGAGCACAAAGCCTGTGGACGAGTTGGTCGCCACCCCCTGGCTCTCTGAAAAGGAGGCTGCAACCAATAAAGAGGAAGATTCAGTTAAAAGGAAATCGTGTACATTTGCCTACTCGACATTTATAACATATACATTGTGAGATTCGTATACATATTGTTTAACGTTAGGGTTACTAATTTTACCAGATATACATCTATAAATGACTGTCTTTTTCAAAGAAATCTCTTCAGACGTATTCGCCATCATAACAGACAGTTAATGTTTAATGAATACTGTGTGTGATGTCAATTAGAAAAAAGGAAGAGACAATACCTGAATGGGGAGGCGAACTTGCTGAAGTAGAATTTCCAAATATGAGAGTTGCTGTTGATAACTGCATGTGAGACGTAGACAGCGCTCTTGTCGTAGAGCCTATGAGATTTAAAGAACGAAACAAAGGTTATCGTATAATATCAATGATTGGCGAGAACGACTAACGATACCTATTCCAAGCAAATTCTTACCCAAAAACCTTACCTGTGATTGACGTACACAAGAAATAGGATATTAGACTTAACGTCGTACAAGTAAATTCTTTACGTGGGTAACGACCCGCAAAACACGTAAACTTACAAGAGTCCCTCCATTGTGCCAACATTGAACAAACTATGTAGTACGTACAGGGTCGCTATCTTTCTTTTCTTTTTTTTTATTCACAAATTTCGAAGTAGTCTTAGAATACTCGAAAAGAACGTTTAAAGTCAAGTTTGTTGCTGGATTTCTAAGGTGATGTACTTTTTTCAAATATTTCTCATGCTTGGATTTCCACCATTTTATTTCCCTTAAGCGACAGAACGCTTTGATCATATAATCACAAGTTTCTCTCTGGAAATATTTTGTGTGTATTTCCTTTAATTAACGTTATTACACTTACTTGATATTGCATGCAAATAAGACGAACTCTCATGCACTGAAATTGATTGGTTTGTGGTCTTTGAGAGGGTCTCTGCTATGGTGACCAATGTTACCTCTTGCTGCTTGCTAGATGTTTGCTTTAAGTTTGAATTGGATGATGCAGAGAAGGAGGATACATTTTGAGCACTTAGTTCGGAAGCACTGGAATCCGACTCAGACAAAGAAATAGTTACCGAAGGTGATAGAGTTGGGAGGATCCCCGGAGTTAATTCTTTTACTGATAATGACGTCCTTATTATTGAAGGAGTTGGTGATTTTTGTTGTAAGTACGATTCGCTTGAGTTTGTGCTGAGTGACTTTGATCCGAAAATTGAAGAGGTTTTGCCAGAAAAGAGTTCTGTCGCAGATAATAAAGATTCACTTCCAGCGTGGATTGTACTCGACGCTAAATGTGAAGAGCGAATGAACGAAACAGGAAAAGAAAGCCATGCTGTAATTAATGCAGTTTCGGAGTCCGCAGATAGCGAGGTAGCATTTTCCAAACGTTTTGACGTAGCAAGCGAGGAAGAAATCTGCTTGAAAATTGTTTTCAACGTGGTACTTTGAAACAATGAAGGTAGGTCAGTCCCGTCACCGGAAGATGAAAAGAAGGGTGTGGCGGTTATAAATTCGGACGACGATGTAGCCTCCTCGACGAATAAACTGTTACCTGAAAATGAATGTGACTCTCTCACGGAATGGTTGGCTGAAGATTCACCAACGGATTGTGTCGACAATGAATGAGCGGTGCTGTTTACATTCAAAGAGCTTTCCGACTGTCGTATTAAGCCACCTGTTTGCAGTCGCGTTTTTGCAGATGACGAGAACAGTGTCGATTGGAACATAGCTGTGGAACCTACACTTAAGTCTTGAGACGCAAATGTACTCTCGTTTGTAGATCCTGTAGTGGAGGGTTCGATATACTCGGGTGATGACGTCAAAACATAAGTGGTCTTACTTGAAGACACAAGCGACGTAACAGTGGAGACACGAGGAAGCTGTTTGGTTGTGGTGGCTGCAAATTGGATTGAAACCAAACTTATGACCCCCGATTTCAAAGAAGAACTATATGAGAGACTATCAGAATATAATGAATCCCCAATAGGAGTATTTGACCTCAAAGTACTGGATCGGCTTGGTATTTCTCGCGTGGCAGTTACAAAAACAGAAAATGTCTTTGTCGTCAGGCATGAAACCTGCGTTTCTGAGGGTTTTGAAGTGTTTGACGCCGTCTCTGTTACACTGAATGAAGGAGAGCTGTTCGGCAAAGAAGTCCTAGATGACGAAAGAAATTCAGCTGATTCGGAGCTGTCCATAGAACTGAAAGATGAAACCTGTGAGACATTTACCACGGTATTCAGTTGCGTATTACTTGGTTGGATTGCTGAATTCTCTAGAGGCATCGATGCATGTGATGTTGAACTAACTGGACTTGGAGGATTTACTAATGGGCTGGTGTGCTTCATGGTAGTCACCTGGGATACTGTGGTGGTATTTACTCCACCAAAGGAAACTAAAGGCGAGTTCGATTCACGTTGAGATGAAGATGAATCCACTGTAGAAGAATCGTTGACTGTGTGTTTGATGTGCTTTAGAGAAGTTGCCGGATCTTGAATGGATGGTGAGCTGGACCCAGATGGTTGAACGGTCACTGTGGGTGTGGTACTCCCCGGAAGTAAAGATACTCTAGTATTTACGACATCGGAGATTTCCGATGAGCTGTGGTTGACTGAATTGGTCTGCGAGGTTTGCAGAGGTGCGTTAATTGATGTATGAAACTGGCTGATTGCTTGCGATATTGTAGTTACAGTAGACCTTCCTCTGGAGGAAATGTGTGGTTGACTACTATGTGAACTTTCAGTGACACTAGTTGAATCAGTATATGCAGCTGTCCTTGACTGCGAAATATGAGCTAAGCTACTTTTTGATACAGAATTCAAAGCCTCAGTTGTGCCTGACGAGCTTCCAGCAATTGAGGAAGTACTTTGGAAAATTTTCGACGTTGTTTGCATCAAAAGTGAAGTGTTTGATATGTTAAAAAAGGAGAACATTGACGAAGAGGCATCTGTTTTTCCCTTTGATGAAGTTTCCACAACTAAAGTGTTTCTACCAAGCTTATCTGAAGATGGATTCAGAAGGATATATGACGATGAATGAACAATAAGTGACGGCGTCTCTGTATATGTACTGAACCCAAAGCTGCTCTCCTTTGCCGTAGAATTGGAAGAACTTTCGGGAAGATTTAGGCTTGTGGTTACTTTCTCGACAGATTGTGTCGGTGAGTTAGACTCCTTGGAGCTCGACTGAGCCGACGAAACAAAGTCACTGACAGTGATACTTGATGAAAAAGAGGAGTTGCTTTGGCTCTGGATCTGAGAATACGAGTTTCTCGTAAACAGCGCCAGCGTTAGCGGTTCGGTAAATCCTGTTATTGAAAATGATGATGCTTCGAATAACGAACGTACACTTCCCGCGCCGCTTTGCGTATTTGGTGTCGCGGTTGTAACGAAAGAAATTGCCAATGTAATAGGCTCCGTTGAGCCAACAATAGGAAGGCCAGAAGAATAAATTAAGCTAAGAATGCTGGTCTTGTCGCGTAATGATTGGGATGTGGTGGTGCTGGCGCTATTAGCTGAAAAGAGAAAGTTACACTTGTTATGTTAATCCTTTAAGTTTATATCAGTTGTTAACTATATTAGTCTACGTTGTTGAGTGGATTAGTCTACAAAAACCCAGAGAGAAATGCATGTACAATTGATTGCTTAAGCGTGGAGTAATCAATTCGTAGATAGAAGCTATTAGATGCCGAGAAATATGCTTGCACGCACGAACAAAAACGTCACACAATCGATCATCAGCGTTACCGTGTTAACACGCGTATCACACAAAGTTTCAGTCGTTCAAAATGCTGATGGAATATAATGGAATGATTACGAGTGAGTACGATGGTTAGTGGTTGTGTGGAAAAAAACAAGAGACGATTGATACAAAAGCATTTGCCATGACACCGTGAAAGGTAAACTGAGCAGCAAAGCGGTTAGAAAAGATTTATGAAATGGCAGACATACAACGAACGCCCTGATTGGTTCAAAACCTATCGTTCAATGCACCAGTAAACTCATAGTTATTGAGTAGATAGACCGCTCTTTCTATCGGTTTACCGGTGTGATTAAACTCACTTGAGATGTTGAAAAACATTTGAAAAAAGTCCGTAAATCACTTGTCTCTGGCTTGTAATCTAACAAATTTCCTCGTGTTCTCCCAACATCCCGTGTGGTTTAGATCACGCCCGGGGGGGGGTACTCGATATATTCCTGGGTGGGGAGGTGCGGCGCGGCCCCTCGTACCCTGACCCTGTTTAAGACAAATATCGCTGATTTTTCTACCCTGTTTAAGATAGGGTTCCGATTTTTGATACCCTCTTTAAGACATTTAATGTGCCTGGTATCAATGCCAAAATCAACGGAATTCAATATTAATTAAAATTAGAACTTGTAAAAATTTTGCTGTTTATCTTCCAAGAAAAGATGTCCTGTTTAAGACAAAAATTGATAAATCGATACCCTGATCAAGACAAAAATGATAAATTCGATACCCTGTTTAAGAAAAAAATCTCGAAAAACATACCCTGGCTGGCCGCACGTCCCCCATTAAGCCCTTATAAGGGAGTACCCCCCGGGAGATCACGCCGGTCACCGAGAGAAAGTGCGGTCGACCGAAGAAAATTAAAGATGATTTTTGCAACACTTTGTAACAACGTTGTGTGTTTATACCTGTTCAAACTGTCAATGAGAAAAGTAGGAATTGTTCCAAATAAATTTACAAGTCCTTGTGCTGTATGCAGGTAAACCAAACTGAATATAGCGGGTACATTTCTAAAGAAACTGTGGTGCTGCGTCGTAAACCGACTTGACGCTCAAAACGGCAGTTTTTGAACCCGACGTTACGTGGGCAAATTCACATTATTAGCTAAGTACGTAAAACCAAATTATCTTATAAAGAAACTGGTAACACTTGCTGGATTGGGCTTTTCGACGTCTTAGCACAAAACCGAAGGGGTTTTTGCATGCGTGTCGATCAGTTTATACAAAACCCTGCCTAATAATATTCTCTTGTCAAGCAATTTACATTCCCCAGTCAATGCTTATGACTACAGAATAAAGTTCTTGGCAACCGTATGTTTTCCAGTATTTTTAACTGTTCGCTGCACAACTTTCGAAAAGAGTCTTAGATCAAATTATGATAAATTGGCCTTTGAGTTTTCTTTTACAATCAGGAAACTATTCTATTCTGTTACGACGAAGGAAATTATACGATACGAAAATGTATACGACTTTCCTGATAAGGTGCGTGACAGGCCTGTTCAACTAATACCCTTGAAAATTTGAGAACAAGTCGGCTCTAAGGTCAATCCGTATCATCTTAAAAATTTTACTGGGCTCTCAATCTCCCGCTTGAAAGTCTTCATAGGCTGAAGCTCTTTATACTAAGAACGCAACATTGGGTCACTGTTAAGTCTATCAGGTTCATTATTATTCAACAAAAGTGTTTGCCTATTTGTTTTGAAGTTTACTTTTGCTGTCCAATCATTGAGTGAATATCCAATGTTTCTGGCTTATAAGTAACAGAATTTAGTGAAAGATTTTCCGTCGGCTTGGAACATCTGAGAAACAAGCGCTTAGACAGGTCGGCTCGAAATAGGAAAATGTTTTCTTCATAGCTTAAATGCAAATGTTTTAACTCAATCGTTCAATGATATCGTTTAAAATCCCTCGACTTGACAATAAACCTAGAACTTTTCACTGAAATCTAGAATTTGGTCTGAATGTAATTCATCAATTCATTTACATTATTTTAGTTAAACAGAAACCTTTACTTAAAAATCTCAAATTCGCATTGTCCATGTTTCGTCAGTATTTTCATTAAAAGTCCAGATACCGATACTTAATAATTTTCTTCTGATTACCCGCCGGAGGCTCAACTATAGTTTGGTAAATCAAAACATCAATGTCACTTACGAGTGATATCAAAAGCCAGTTTCATTATCAACTAATCTTTCTCAAAGCTCTACAGACACGATCGATAACAAATTAAAGAAATATCATCTCTTGAGGAACAATACATCTCAATTTGCTTCCAGATAGCGGAAAATATATTCTATTGATGTAAATCAAACTTCCCTTCCTGCTGATAAAGACCCCTTGGTTAGATGTTGTGAAAATTATTGACCACCAGTCGACTTATTTTTAGAAATAACGATTAAAAAAGTTCAAACGCCATATGTGTAAAATCTATTGTAAACAAAAAGTTACGTTTTGGACGTTTTAGAATTAACAACTGCCGACGAAAATCGCAAAGTAAAGTCTCGACAACAGTGGTTTACAAAATAACCACAACTTACCATTGCTGGAGGATGAATGTACCAGCGCAGGAGAGACGGAAGAAGCGGGCACTGAAACACTTGCTGACGCTGTAGTAATCGATGAGTCATTGCTTTGAGCAGCGACGAAGCCACAACATAAAACCCACAAGGTAAATAATATTCTGAGCGGCGGAATGGCCGCGTTTGAGTTCTGAAAACGAAGGGTTGTTCTGTAACTGTCAACTGCAGTACCAAATTTCCTAGCCTTCTTCTTCATCTATTCCGTTGGCAGCGACAAGAGCCACGATTTCTATTTATGTCGAGGTATCGTTTCATCAGGAAACGTTCGTGGTCAAGGAACAAATCTGGAAAGAACCGTACACTTCAACACATTGAATATGGCATCACGCTTCGTCAATTGCATTGCGAGCCCCATAGAAACGGTCTACTTAGCAACCTTGTCTTTCATTTGATCTTTAATGCTAATCAATGTTTGATTAGCATAATTTATTCCTCCGGCACCAACGCCATTGAGACAATTACATGACGAAAAACACTTTTATCTCAAATCAAATTCGCTAATAATATTAACAATATAGTCTAAACAACCGGGGGATTAAGAAAAACGGTACACAATCCAAGAAATTAGCACATGACTCGAAGAAATTATCATATCTTATAACATGACAACATCGAGAGCTGCTTTAATTTCCGTTCTAGAGTGGCTTTTTAGAGCGTGAGTACAAATTAAATTTTCGTCACCAAGCAACAAAAGTTTCAAACACTTCTTTTGTCCTCTATACCAAACAAATTAAGCCGCGCGCCGCAGACATACTAGAGCAATGACTGCTTGAAGACTGGCGAAGAAAACATTATTTTGTTCGCAGAAATCCAACTATATTTTTCAGATCCTGTGTTGTTAGTCATATCTGTTCCGTCGATGAGCAAATAAAGAAATTGTCACTGTCGTCATCCAATCATTCCAATGTAAACAAGGTGATTTTGAGGTCGATAAAAGAGATCAACTTTATCGAAACGAGACGTTATCAGAAAAGGTAATATGCTGCAATAAAGTTTGGATACTGTCCATGTGTAATCATCCGATAATCCGATACTGTATTATTTCAGTTCTTTCTGTAGAATAGATCAGAGTTTGATTATTGTACGCTTAGTTTTTAGTTTCGTCAAATTTAAATACATCTGCGCATAATCTTTAAGAAACGCAGTCACGCTCAGCTGTACTTCTTAGCGAAGGGAGTCAATACCGTTAAATGAACCTTGTAAATTTAGAATACACTTGTAATTTGGAGTCAGAGCTCTCAATGTGGGTGTTGATTAGTCAAGCTCAAGAATTATTATGTATCTGGAGGCCTCTGGGTAATAACTGAGCTTTCCCGGTTTAACATATGTTTTTTTCAAGTTCTATGTTTTAATTCTCCGTAGATTGTATGATATTGCAAGACCAATCTAAACAATACGTCACCTGTATCCAGACAATGTGTCGGAAAAACATAGGAATGACTGCATTCAAATCAACCTGTGTCAGAATATATTCCAGAGGTAAAGAAAGAAAGAACTCAACTAGGAGAGATTATTAAAATGCATTACTAACTTGAACAGTCATTCGCAAAAAATGGTATTTCAAGAATAACCCGTATAACTCGTAATATTCGCATAACTCGTAATATTCGTATATTTTATGCTATTTAATCGTATATTAATACTTAGTTATTTATATATTATTTTATTTAAAGTATCTTGTTGTGTCCTTACCTAGTGGTTTTTTTACTGCTATTTCATAATTGACACATGAATAAAGTTCATCATCATCATCATCATAACTGAACCTTGTATGAAAAATGGTTCACGTTCAGTTGTCAGTTGGCAGATCCACAACCAGATTTCAAGAGTAAAATATACGTCAACAAATTAATTATGAGATGTGCCACAGGGGTCAGTTAGACAAACTGAAGTACCGACGGAGGAAACCTTCCTACTTCATAACTGGTGGTAGACAAAAAATCGTTCACGAAAAATAGGAAGTTAGAGCAGTCGTATTACTTTTGATAAAAGTTACCTTAGGCTGACTGCTAGACAGTGAAGAAATGTAAGAACACTTATTTTTACTGCTTTCGTTTTAGTTTCAATCGCGGTTAAGCGCAAATTCTTTCTTCTTTGAATATTTCCTGATTCTTTTGGTAACGAAATCGTTTCCGGCTCCCCTATAATGGACTACATAGCAATTCTGAAAATTGGAACACCCCAATTGGAACACAGTTATGACTCAGAGTAAAATTCATTGGTGTTTACTTCGTTCAAAGCATAAAAAGTTCTTCGTCAACCTGCCTTTTTTTTATAGAAATTAATTCCATACCTTACCTATGCTATACAATGACTCTCCGTGTAAGACATGTAGCTTATCATACTGTGTATGATATGGCCTCCTTCTGTCTCCACGTCATACGAACAGCATCGTGTATTATGTGTTACCATAGCGACTGGGCATAGAAACTCTAATGAACGCTCTAACACTAATTATTAAAACTGGATCATTGGATAATGCAATTCAAGACTTTTTATTGGCTTAGCCATTATGGTATATGAGCCAATATACCATAATCTACAAATATGGTAAGCGTACGCGTCAGCTTAAAATCAAAAGGGAGCTAAAAAATCCGGTTTCTTCTCACAAAATAATAATTTCTTGGGGGAATTTTTAATAAAACAATTATTCCACGAGCGCGCGTTGGATATGAGATTATTATAGCCAACTCGGCGCTACACGCCTCGTTGGCTATCTATCATCTCATATCCAACGCGCGCTCGTGGAATAATTGTTAAATATAAGGTAAACTAGGAAAATGATTTTACGAACTCTTGTAAGGAACTGGCATCTCTTTCGTCCATTCCAAAGGATTAAACCTTGACTGAATCGTGTGGTTTTACGAGTTATGATAAATTATCGCGATTAGTGTATTCAAAAAAAGGCATACATATCAAGTCACTTCCTTTTGCATCTCGATTGCAACTCTTCACAAATCTAGAAAAATCTCAAAAACTATTTTTAAAAATGAGTGCCACATATACTGAGCAAAGTAAAGCGCAATTAAAAAAACGTATGCCTAATTCAGCTCGTTGCAAAAATTACAGCTGAAGGTTGTTAGCTGAATTAAGTGGACGAACTCGAATTTGGTGAACTCCGTTTACCAAGGTTCTGATAAAATTAGTGTTTCGAACATGAAGCATTACCTGTGGGTCCGCATCCATTTTCCAAGGTTAACTCATCATACAGTTAGAGTAACACATGGTTCAATTGAATTTTTAAGGCATGCAGTTAATTAAGGCTAGCAGTTAAACTTGCTAGTCATAGCATATGCCCTGCAGTCATTCTTACTGAGTTTCTTTGAGTTATTGGTTTTGACGAAGTTTTATTCTATCCTGATAGGGCTTTTTACAACAAGGAAGGCAGTATTTTGATAAGTAGTTTTTTAGAAAAGCTTTTCAAAGATAAAAATTAGTTACGTGTGATGCCCGATCTTCGCAGTAGATAGCGCTATTTATGCAATAGCGAAAATCAGACCTAAAAAGAAAATCAGGCCTGTACGGGATTCGAACCACTGACCTCTGCGATGCTAGTGCAGCGCTCTACCAATTGAGCTAACAAGCCAACTGGGAGCTGGCCGTTAAAGATAAAAGTTAATGATAATAATTTTGCACGACGTTTCGACCTCGCTGAGGTCATTTTCAAGCTGATGAAAAGGAAAATTTTTTCATATATGTACTAAATTCGGGAACCACATTAAAAAGCGGCATGGGCATACCCCAAGTAACTTGTATCACAGTTTTAAAATCCTGAAGAAATGCAAAAGTAAACTGGACTGCCTAATTTGCGAGATGCTTTTTATAAAAGAAATTAAGCCAAGCTTGAACAAACAGTCAGATTCAATCCGCGCAAAGCTATATTTATAATAATTTACGGTATCTTCGCATAATTTATAGTTTTACTTTCGTCTACTCTGATATTAATTTATTCGTATTGTCTCCTTTGCAATTTTATCACTTCTATTTTACGCCTAGCGTTTACATATTTACATATTCTATCGCCTTTATCATTCCCACGAATTTAGTACATATATGTAAAAATTTTCTTTTTCATCAGCTTGAAAATGACCTCAGCGAGGTCGAAACGTCGTTCAAAATTATAATCACTAATTTTTATCTTGGAAGGCAGTATTGATCATGTTAGATAAATGTAATGCTAATATATCTGGTTTACTAACCCCGAAACTTCTTGAAAAATTTTACTACAATAAAGGGTTTTTTTAAAAAAATTATTATTTAGTTGTTTTTCTCTTTTCTTTTTTCAATTTGACAGTAATTGAATGGCAAAACGCGACACAACAACAATTTTAAAACTTCGATGAGTTTCGCAATAGATTTGGCATTCTCTGTAATTAATCTGTTTCAAAACTTTCTTCCGCATCTGAGTTGATCCTTTCATTCAAGATGTCTGAACGATGCCTTGTTTGTCTTGTTTTTGTTTTTCAATGGACGCAAATAAACAGAGAAGGATGAACTAAACCGATCTCCAGACACCTTGACTACCTACACTTTATCAACCCAAGGGCGTAGCCAGCGGGGGCCTGGGGTGCCCGTGACCCCCCCTCCCCCCCTTGGTAAGCCTTCTTTTGAGCAAACAATCTACAATATTCAGGTGGTGAAAACGCCATGACAATATCTTGGCCTGCCCACTATACTCTCACTGCTCATCCCAAAACTGTAACATTAAGTATAACATGAACGGCGTGGAGGTCGACATGACAATCTGGCGAGTAGCCTCTGTAACCCCCCCTTTGAAAAATCCTGGCTACGCCCCTGCAACCCCATATATACACGCGTGTATAGCAGAGATCAAGGTTAGTAATAACAGTATGTTTCAGTGCCTACGGCTGTAAAATCTTACATATCAAACTAGATGTAACAAAACAGCTGAAATGAGGCCATTACGCAAGAGTAACTTGAGAGTTTGACAAATCTGTGCTTAGAGTTAAGATTAGCCATCTTGCTGCATATCTCCTAAACAAGCTGTCGAGCTTATATCAATTGTGTGTCTATCTACAACGCTAAGTTTAAGCCTAGGCATCACCTTAGATGCATACAACGTATTGCGCCTTAATAAAACCCGGTTTGAAGTTAGATGTTATACATATTAAGAGCAACTAAAGTACGAGTATAATGGTCAATATAAACAAATGAAGCATGAGTTATTTGTGTAAACTATTTAAAACTTCGTGGCATTGTCTAAGAATGAGCGTGGATACAAGATTATCTCTGAATCTAGTTCTAGTCGTCCTATCTCTTTTCATATATAGGTTCATAGATTGTGTCAGTGGCTTCTGTTACGTTGGGATGTCATGCGTGACACGCATACTCTATGACATTATTACATAACGGCTCGCACGTGGTTTTTGTTTTGCTTTTGGACTCGTATCTTTTGACAGCTTCTGTGATTATTTAAACACTTTTTTTCCCACAGGACCCATGTTGATAGCAGTTTTTTATAACTGAATTGGCCATCCTGCATGAATATGTTATTATTATTATTATTATTATTATTATTATTATTATTAACCACAACTAAATTTGTCAGCTTAATAATGTAACCGGTTCAAAAGTGATATCTTGTTGTCGATCATTCTGCTAAGGACTATAAGCTCTTTCAATCGTTTTAAGTGGGTCACACTTATAACACTCGTTTTCGGAATGCGAGGATTGTCCGGCGACATTCAAATAGGTTTCTCTCGATGAGCCACTGACTGGACGTTCAGAGTCGTCAAATTCAAGATGCGAGCTTGACGTGCATCGTGATGTCGATCGAAAGGCGTTTCCACTTGCAAAGTTAGCTACTTGGCCACTGGAACAATCTGGTTCAAATGGACGCTTTAAGTTAGTAGATTTTCTTAACAGATCAGGATCACAACTCCCCTCTTTGTTATCGTCGTTTCTCTCCAGGACTCTCATGCTTAATGTCTCGTAAAATGATGCGCTTCTTTGGTCGTGATCCTTAGGGACGTCCTTTTTCAAAAATGGTTCATCGCTCATAACCCAGGTATCACGACGAACAGGTTGAGTTTTTCGAAGCTCTGAGGGTGGAATTGGAGAGCTGAAAGGTGAAAAAAAATTTAATTCACAATATTTTCTTTTCTCTCCTTGTATTTTTTTAAAGAGTAACGAACGCCATAATAATAGGAGTATGCTGAGGACTATTTGAGGTATCGTTTCAAAAAGAAAACAGCGACACAACAAAAAATTTCCTAAATAAGGAAAAAGCATCTAAGTTATTCGTCGTTAATTTTGATTCAGTTTAAATTTAGGGGCACCAAAAAATAAAAAATGCTGTAGCTACTGGCACTTGGGTAAAAAAAATCGAATTAGGTGTAAATATCTATCTGTCAACGTCCTTTTACTCACTCGGCAGGTTTAACTGTTGATCTCTCATAGTATCCTTTCTTTTTGCAAACGTAAAAACCAAACACCCCTACAGTTATCAGCAACACAGAGAGGACTGAAAATATTGCAATCAACGTGGCATTTGATAACCCTCTATTTTCTTCAGTTACAATATTCTGTGATTCAGCACGTTCCTTATAAACTCGTGAGGTAATATTGATGTTCGTTACTTTAAGACCTCGCCATAATGTTTCATTGGCAGCAGTCAATAATTCAGCGTAGTCCGAATCGTTGTATGGTGCGCCATGTGGCACTTTAAGGTTAAACAGAGGAATGATACTTCCTTCCTCAAAAGACGTCACCTTCACGTCAACGGAAATTATGTCCTCGACTATAGCCTCTACTTTAACAGCAAGGACTTTGAACATAGTCGAGTTTGGATTTGACAGATTTGCGTGAAATTCCCTGTTAGTTATTAGCAAAGACCCGTCCATGATTTGAAACTGATTGGAAGAATTTGAAATTGCCAAGATGGTGGGCTTCACCGAGCTGGAAGGATACGGATCCGTAGTCTGATGTATCCATTTGAGGTACGAGGTAGAAGTGTAGTGCAAGTTTGATGGCAATTTTGAGGTCCTATGCGCTGTGGCATTTAGTGACCGTATCAAAGCAGATATGTTCCAGGGTATTTCGCTCGATGACATGCTTGTAACTTTAATGCTACTTGTTACGGGCGGCGGATTAAGGGAGAGCGCTGAGGATTGTACTGAGGATGGACCGGTGCTGATAGAATTAGTAAATTTCCAAATTGTTGCCGTGTTACTTGAATCTTTGTTAGGTGAGCTTGCAGTCGTTTTTAGGGATGGAAAGTTATAAATGGTCAGTCCTGTGGTTCGTAATGAGTCAGTACTGGACTTCCAGCTTCCGTTTTTAAATGCGGAGGCACCAACTCTGAAATCCCAGGCATTCATTCCTTGCCAAGTTGCTTTACTTGAGGTTTTCCCACGAGTGGACGAAAGGGACATTACAGATGAGGAGGGTGTGATGATAAGAGAGTGAGCTGCTGTTATATTTAAGAGTACAATCTTACTTTCCCATGCTTTTGAACTTGTCAACATTTCATCCATTTTATCAATCGGTAGCGATCGCGAAAAATACCCAACGTCTTTCGGCAATGTAGCGGATGGATTGGAAGCTGAAACTGACAAGGTAGAGATACTTGTGCCCTTCAATCCAGTTGGTTTGTCGCTAGTACCTTTGGTCGAGGTCTGCATGGACGCGCCTTTAAAAAGGTTAGGCGTTGAAACGCACTCTGAGGGGCTTGCCTCCGAAGTCAGCGGTGTGGAGCGGACAGGGATGGTTGAAAACCCAACGTTCCCGGTGTGTCTCGAGTTCACGTCTGTGTAAGCTGAAATATGTCCACGAGTTGACGAGAAGTTGAAGCTATTTCTATATATGTACCGCGATGAAAAGTTGAATGAAGTAGTTGTCTTGGAGACAACTGTGGAAGAAATGCCTTGGTGCACATGCATCGAAGATGAGGCGTAGGGTGAAACTGGTTTAACTGCTGGGGAAAGAAAATGACTGGACAGTGGATGCAATACTGACAACTCATTGCTAGAGATTCTCGTCATCAGCAACAAGGTAGTGTCAAACAGGGTTTTGTTTTCGTATGATGGGCTTGTTTGCAAAACACTGGCAAGGGGGCCTGTGCTTTTAAGAGACGTTATCTGTCGAACAGTTAATGTTTCAGAATTATGGCCCGCGTGTATATTATGGCTTGTTTCTAATGGCGAGATAGTTCCAGAAATTGAATGAAACCCGTTGTCTGAAGTAGCTTGCAAAGAAACTACGTCACTCTCTTGAGAAGAAATTAATGGCGAAGGCCTTGAATTTGTTTTAATTTCCCGAAGTGATGTTGAAATAGTTTCAACATCACTGAAACTCGCAGATGGAAACATTGTCTTCTGAATACTTTCTTTAAAACTCTTTTGTGAAGATTGCTTCTGTGTAATAGCACCCCTAGCCACGGAACGTATTGAAGTATACGGCGTCAACTGATCCTCTCTCAAATACGATGGGAGTGCATCAGTATCTTGAGATACTTTTGAGGAAAGAGACGTTTGCATCAGTGACGAACTTTTGCGGTGATGAGAGTGCATTTTGTGATCGTGTGATGACGAAGGATTGGAGCTTGAAAATATAAACATTTCTCTTGTAATATTTTTCAAAGCTGTAGAGCTTCTTGAATGAGACGTCTGTATTTGATTTAAAAGGTCCAATGATCGGTCCTCACTAGGAGAGTTCATGATACGAGTGCTGGTCAGATTCGTTAATACTTTGGTCACCCCTTTGGGCAACTCTAAAGTGGTTTCCAAAAGCGTTCTGCTTGTAGCAACTTCTGTGGAGTTTCTCGATTTACTAGCAGAACCAGATGGATGAAAAGAGAGCCTTGCATAAAAATATTTTGAAAACTCGCCTTTCTTAGTTGCTAGTTGAAAATTATTGGACGCTGATTTGGAATTAGAATCGGATTTCGAGGGTGCAATATCTGTTGATTTTGCAATTTGAGACGCATACCAAGGAGAGGCATATCTGGAATAGAAGGATTGCTGCGATCCTTTAACCGAAGTTGCATTTCTCGGGGGTGAATATGGCCCAACTGATATAGCCAAAGTGCCGGCCTTATGGCCAAAAGAGGAGTTGCCGCTGATGTCAGGTATTGAAGACCGGGTGTCACCTACAGATGACGCAGTTGATGTGGGAAAGACTGTTATCGAGTTTACCCCTACAAATGGAATACTTGCTTTCGTGTGGTAATCTTCCCATGAGCTTCCTTGTGTGACGAAAGGTGAATTTATGGTCTTTGCATAGCTGATCAATCCAAGGGAATCCTGTTTCATGACGAAGTAGGAAGATCTTCTTACTACAAATGCAAAGCTTGGTGTCAAGAAAGATGATGTATTCCACCACTTTGTGTCAGTGATCTTCCTCAAGCTTGTTGAATCGGAGGTGGTCGTTGGTGTAAACATTCTAGTAATGGGACTTCTTGGCTTTGATGGTAAAATGTGTGATGCCTTAACTGAGGGCATTGAAGCCTGTGTCCTGCTGTATTCTGTAAAAAATGAAAACAGCTTTGAAAATTGAATTTTGAACTCGTCACAACGTAATCATTTTATCAAGGAGTTGAATTTTCATAACGTTACTAGCGTTGAAAATTGGACTTAAGCATTCCCCCCGGTGATTGTGAACAGTTTCAAAGTATTATAATTAATGAATTTTTCGTTAAGTTGAATTCTACTAAAGAGTCCCGTACAGGCCTGATTATTTTCAGGTCTGATTTTCGCTATTGCATAAATAGCGCTCTCTACTGCGAGGATCGTGCATCATACTTATCTACAACCGCAGTTCAAAATATATGAACATCATATATTCATTGTATCTGAGGCGAACTTTGCTTATTATGTCGGAATATCAAAAATGACCTCGTTTAGCCGGCTTTTTAAAGACGACTGACTTTCATTCGCAAACTTCTCCATATCACACCTTATCAGTACATATCATTTGACACTGAAGCTTTTAGAGTCTGTCCTCTTTTCGAGTGTGACAGCATAAGGGTGTTAATTTTGTTACATGGGGCTTACCAAACTAAGCACTGGTTTCAAATCACCCAAGGTAAAGTCGGCTCTTCTTGATAAAGTAAGTCTAGAAAAGTCAGTTGATTATATATGCTTCTGTAAAAGGCGTTAACGACAGTTTAAAAGTTATTCGCGGCAGGTGGCCATCAATGATGGAACCACAAGAATGGAAACATATCCGTTACAAGGAAAACGACAAAATGAATCCATTTAGAAAGAGGAAAATTAGTGTCACGCACCTTGTTTTGTGAAAGTTAAACTAGGAAAGCAAAAAAAAATTAAACCTAGCCAGTTAAACAAGGAAAGTAAAACAAACAAAAAAAAACCTAGCCCTGGAACAGGCAAATTCCAAAGCTAGATTTATACCCATCCTGAAGTTGTGTATCACGAGCTCTTTCTTATCGCTTATCGGCTCTTATTCCGTAATAGACACCTGCATTCAATGATGGCCATCCTGTGCTGCTACATCTTCTTATTCATTCAGGGTTCTCGCAATGTTTTCACGTTGTCCTTTCCTCTTCTATAAACACATCTTTATTATCTTGCTAATTGAGGCGAAAATGAATTGTGTACCAATCATGATTGCTCGAACAACAGCTCTCAAGAAGGTTTTAAGAGTCTAGACTTTCGAGAATATCCGCTTTATTTCATTGAAGCAAAGAATTTCCTTTCTCTACGTTCTCACGGATGATGTTCAATAAACCTGTTTTTTTCTTCTTTTTCCTAAAATAAAAGTCTCCTTTATTTTCTACATAGCAGTTTTAGTGTCAATTTTAGGGGCAATAGAAGAGACTTCTGTAACTGTTAAACGAAAAGCGCCGCGACATCCCGCAAGCTGTATAGAGGTTAAAGGCTGATAGTTTCGAAAGAAACTGTATGGGACTGCGTCGGTGGGAGTAACGAAATAATTTGGATATATCAACAAAGTTGAAATGGTAAATTGGCCACCGTGACGATTACAAAAGCTGACGTTTTGAGCGTTAGCCCTTCGTCGGAGCGAAGAGGTTACGTTGTCATCAGTTGACGCAAGATCTTTCAACTGAAAGCGAAGTTTTAGCCGCCGTGCTCAAACCTTTTTAATTATTCTAGTGATAGCGGCACCAAGGTAAACATTTTTACGCCTTTTAGTTTATTTAATTGAGCAATTTGTATCATTCTTTCTTTAATTGCGATTTCTCGTTTTGTGAAGTAAGTTAAGACTTATAATTTAGTTTATGCGAAAGTTGCACGACATCGTTATAGCGTTAATTGTAAATTGTTATTTTTCCTTTGTCTTGTGACTTTTTGAGTCGCATGAAATGTATTTTCTTCTGATTATGTACACGATCTCATTTGTAATTTCTTTGTACTTTTATTTTAGTTCTCACGGTGTTCGTTTAACAAAGTAAGAAGTCGAATAAACTTTTACGGACATCAGTTTGTGAACGTTATGATCACTGGAGCAATAACTTCAATGAACAATTTAATGGACGGGTGTAGAAATTATACTGACCATGCGTAATGCGCAACGACAAAAAAAGGTAAAAAAGAAGTCAAGGGTAAACTTACCAAGCGAAGGCTTTTTGGTGACAGGGGAGTCCATAATTATGGTTGAGTAAGATAAGTAATGCAAAGTCATGTTCCTTGATGCAAATTCATGTTTGCCTCTTTCCACTGCTGCTCCACTGTAGAGGTATGGCTCTTGGTTTGACAGTTCTCTTGTAACGAAATATATTCCAACTGCGGTAATCCCAAGAAGAAGAACGAAACCAAGTGCCAGAAGACCCTTTTTGCGCCTTTGTATCAGCCTTTGTTCGTTTTCATTTGGCAGGTGATATTTTTTGGCGCTCTTCGTCAGGCTAGCAATGTAAATATCTTCCATATTCTTTCTGTGGGGGAAAAAATCCGTGTTAGAGCTTGCAGTAGATATATCGTCCGGGCTTTCCTCTATTATAGGAGAAAAGCGAACCGATTTTGCTTCAGCCATTTCAAGTAAATTTTTCTTCGTTGGCTTCCAAACTGCTGTGAAGCGCTTGTCACCCACTTTCAGCTTCGGGCTATGTTGTCTTGGCAACGAAAGTGTCACGTGTCGTAAAGGAAGATAAACATGTTTGAGAATGCGTTTCCTGAATTAACTTGTGCAGGTTTGCAAAGCAATGGGCGACAAACATGGAAAAGAAAGTTATTACGATGGCTGTATTTAACTCATTGAAGTCTTCTACAAATGTATGCTCTCACGCGTACACCTTTCATTTTCATCCTTGTATAAGCAGGATGTAAAGACGAAAGTACAATCAGGAAGTGATTTTATATCGCTTCAGAAAATCTTTGTAACGGTTGAAATATATATCGTGCAGTAGTCTGTAAATGAAATAATCACATTTAATGAAACTAATTCTGGTGTTCACGCATAGGTATAAACACCTTTCACACGTACTTCGAATGCGAACAACTCTTAAGTATGCTTGGTGAATAATCTTGATCTCGAATATATTGGGGTTATCTTCATGTCAAATATTAGATAAAATATGAAGATGAGGATTATAGCATTAAATGACGAAACAACAAAACACCGCCTTTTTTCTTTAAATGATGCCTATGTTAAACCCTATTGCATGTGAAGCTTATGTAAGGCTCTTAAGCAAACTAACTACGTTTAGGGAATTTCGCGTAAAAGAGGTCCCTTGGAGGATAAAATCCAATGGCGCTGCGCGCCAGGTCTAAAAATAAATATGTCATCTTTGGATCCCCCGCTGGTTTAGGACAAACACTCGGAGTCTTTACAAGGAGATGTATGCGAAAGGTGTCAGAAGCAAGACTATTTTCGGTCAAAATATGCTCTAACTTTCTAAAATGGTTGCAGCTAGGAATTGCTGTTGGGGCACATGTAAAAATGACTCAAGATATCCAGAAAGATTGCCAGATTCGCTTAAAGAAATGCTTAAAAACGGTCGGAAAGCCTTCATACCGTTCACACGTACTGCGAATGCGAACAACTCTTAAGTTTAATGTTTAACACAGCATTTAATGAAATGAGCTGTACCGGAAGCGATGTAAGTGGTGTCCTTCTTGACGCCTACCGCATCGCGCAGATGCCTGGACATCATCAATTATTCATGGGCACTGAAGCGGGAGATTTGAATGCAATCGCGCCTTGAAAAGCCCAGGATAAGAGAAGAAAGGGCCGAAACTAGCGCAGCAGCGTTGATAAAACTCGCTTTCCCAATAACCAAAAGCAACGAGTGAGAATCCCAAGAGCAGGTTTTAGAAGAGGAAGGGTTTATCTTTAATTTATGCTTAAAAATAGGAAGTTTGAGAAAGTGTAAGGACTATTCTTGAACCTTTGAAAATGACGAAAAAACGAGGTATGAAGGCCGCTTTCAAAAACGATCTTTTACAAATTCAAATCGGCTTCCAAAAAACCCAAGAGCGGGAATTGTAAGATGGAGCTTTTCTGAAACAGAAACCATTTTAACTTTCAAAATACTACAAGTAAATGTCTCAAGAACAATAAGCATTCTGCGCGATGGCAACGGCTGTCGAAACTTCATTACCTACCAATACTACCGACAACAGTCCTTTGTATGACCTATTATCACCCAGATGATCAGACAACACGACCAAGTGTGGCTACTAACTGTGGGTTCAAACCACTCACTGGGAAAACGACATATCACTCAATTTTATTTTATACTGCGAAACAAGAAAGTGTTGTTGATTTGGATGAAGCCCAACATAGCTTAAAAGGTCTGTTAAGTTACACTCGTTGTCTTCGCTGTCAGACGATACTGAATCCAGTCCAATAAATACAGTTACCATTAACATCCATTTAGAAATTTTGACTTGGTCTTTTATTTTCTGTTATAAACAGTTACTTATGCTGCCTCATAGAGGACACACAGAGAGTAATTAACAATTGGTTCATGCTTTAGCGTGCACTATCGAGTTATGGAGCACGCGCGAGGAAGTTTGGAGAGCACGAAAGAAGCACAAGAGTTGCCCGAGGCAATAGCCGAGGGCAACTCTAGCCTCTTGAGTGCTCTCCAAACTTCCCGCGTGATCCATAACTCGATAGTGCACAGCTAAAAGCATGAATCAATTGTTTTAGAACATAGCCGGTGGAATTGTGCATCAAATCCGACGCAAAAAACGGACATCAATATCAATTGAAGCGAATCGTGACGGCGCTGAAGCCGAGTCTCCTTTTTCGTTGTTTTTCTCTTTTTCTGCCTCATTTAAGAACTTTAGCCCAAGGAAAAAGTCGAAAAACTGTCTTCGATTTGGGACTAGTAGGCCGAGTCTGTGTTTGTATCCATTATTGTCGCGAAATATATTATTTTTCCCCGCGCTAACAATGGTCGCTCGCGCGAAAAAAAAAAAATTCTGGCGAAGTGATTTACCCACGCTATCAGCGTGCACTATCGAGATTTTGATCACGCTTACGTATACTGAATTTGTTTTCGCGGCTCTGCTAGCTATGTTCTAATGGTTTCTATTAACAATACAACAAATGCCTTATCATTTATTTGAATGCCATCCTTTTTTGCGCCAAAAATATGGAAAGCTCCAAAGCATCCTTATTGTCTCATCAGAGGATGGCACCAACTAAATATTGACCTGACCATTGCTTACTCTGCGGAAACTTTAGATAGAAAAAAAATTGTGTCCGGATGAGGATAAACCCGATCAAATGGTCTCAGCGACAGGAAGCCATCTTTGTTCGCAGCAATGCACTTCTGACTCCGTGCAACCCTAAGAGCATAAGTAGGTCCTTGCCCAAAGGAATCTTTAACGAAGGCTCCAATATGTTTTGAAGATTCTTCATAGTTCTATGTGAAGGTAAAAAAAGAAGTTGTGATTGTTTTATAGAAACATGTGAAATTGTTTACAGTGGCTTTTGAGGCTGAAATTAAGAGCGTGACCACGACTGAGAAAACCGGGCAGAACCGGGCAGGGGCGATAAACCTCAAATCACCGATTTGGCAAAAACTTGGCACAAATGCTTCTGAGTATCATGAGTTAACACATATGCGAAAGTAATAGGCCAAAATATTTAATTCCCTGGGAGTTATAGGGTCCCCCTGGGAAAACCCCAATTTCCTGCAGTTTTTGCATAATTAATTAGCTAACTTTACATTGCCGCTGTGACAAACTGAAAATCCATCTGCAAATTCAATCAACTGGGTTGTATTTCATATCTATCAGACTTCTCGAAAATTGAATTTTTTTAACTTTTTCATTTCATTTCTACCCTTACCTTTCGCTTGAGTAAAGACGACTTTTTCTGGTTTTGACAAAGTCCAAAAATTAGGGTATTTTAAGGCCCAATATCTCCGATGAGCAACCCCTTCTGATCATTATTCCTATATGGGCAGTGAAAGCCATCACTGGACTTCCAAAATCAGTAATAAAAGTTTTGGGCAATTTATTTCATAGCCCGTGCTGACGTGAAATTTACATCTACCTCCCGCTTTTAAGTCTACATCATCAAAATTCTGTACACCATATCTTTGTTTTATTAACTTAAAATAAGTTGAAATTTACAAGAATGAATGCTCAATGAAGCAAATCGAATCTGGTACATTGTTGACATAACTTATCAAACAAATGATATCAAGCCAAAAGTTGCAACTGAGGCACTAAGAGACATGTATGTACTATCAAGTTTCTTCCTAGATTTCTTTTGTCAGAAAGTTCCCCTACATGCGCCCTTGATGTTCATCATCAACTGCTGCGTTTCCTCGAGAATAATCCAATTATGGCTGCGAAAAAAGTTCTCAAAAATGGCTCAACTCGCGCTGTTCAAATATTTTCTCCTCGTTCATGTTTAAACGATACTCTCTGGGAAATTTCTTGTACATTTCAACTCATTTTAAGTTAATAAAACAAAGATATGGTGTACAGAATTTTGATGATGTAGACTTAAAAGCGGAAGGTAGATGTAAATTTCACGTCAGCATGGGCTATGAAATAAATTGCCCAAAACTTTTATTACTGATTTTGGAAGTCCAGTGATGGCTTGTACTGCCCATATAGGAATAATGATCAGAAGGGGTTGCTCATCGGAGATATTGGGCCTTAAAATACCCTTATTTTTGGGCTTTTTCAAAACCAGAAAAAGTCGTCTTTAGTCAAGCAAGATGTAAGGGAAGAAATGAAATGAAAAAGTTAAAACAAATCAATTTTCTAGAATTCTGATAGATATGAAATACAACCCAGTTGATTGAATTTGCAGATGGATTTTCAGTTTGTCACAGCGGCAATGTAAAGTTAGCTAATTAATTTTGCAAAAAATTCAGGAAATGGGGGTTTTCCCAAGGGGACCCTATAACTCCCAGGGAATGAAATAATTTCACCTATTATTTTCACACATTTGTTAACTCATGATACTAAACATTTGTGCCAAGTTTGAGCCAAATCGGTGATTTGAGGTTTATCGCCCCCTGCCCGGTTTTCTCGTGGAGACGCTTTTAACACCTTGAATATTTATAAGAAAAGCCGACAAAAAGATTCCCTATCAACGTTCTATCTAGTTTGAATGGAGGTTTCCCTTTAGTGGAGAAGGTTGTTTAGTTAATTTGACGTAAAATTTCAATACAATTTCTCCGCTCAACTTGGTCATTTATAGTAAAAATTGTATTTTCTACTTTTGTTTTGTTTTTCAAGAAAGGCTTCTGTACAAAGTTACGAAACATGTAGAACGATAAAGGATGACACAAGACTTTCGAATCATCCAGATAATTACGAAGTTTCGAAACTCCATGCAAATGTACCGAGATCGAAAATAATCTTATTTTCATAAACACACTAAGTTTATTTTTACATGTATCGGATCTGTGCTCAATACTCAATGTACACAATACACAGTACAATACATCGAGACTTGAGGTATCTTCGTGGGTGAAATTGAAGCCCTTGCTGTAACCAGTAGTTTGAATTTCTACAGCCCTCACACAAAAGTTCATTTTCAATATAGTGTAAGTAAGATAAAGATTTGTTAATTTTACTGCAGTTTCTTTTAAAACTACTGGTGTTTATACTGACCGCGGATACAATTGTGTCACTTTCTAAGTCGGGAACCAAAGTGTACTTCTGATCGCCTTCAGTGAACACCAAGTGGACGGAGTTTTCGTCGAAAATTGGGTTCGCGGTGTTGAGTACCATTGTAAATTGACCTGAAACAAAATAAGATGCATGCACTTCTAAACTTGAATTTCGTTATCTATGAGATAATTTAGTGCGAACGGTTTGTTTGGTCTGGCCGCCGCCGTGTATATTATGGGTTGGCGGGTGATCATCACCGCAAGGCTGTCAGGGGGTCGGACCGTCTTCATTGTTATATAAAGTCTATTTATTCGCAACTAATTTAAACCGATACAAAATTAAGGAACGTACAGTTACACCTACTTTTTTTTTCTGAATCATCTCCTGTTCCTGTACATTTAGGAGCCTTCTTTCCACCATCGTCTGTTACGACGATACATTTTTGTCGACTCAGAGACCAAGCACGAAATGTCGAGGCATCATTCGCGTTTTCCGTCATCTCTCTTGAGGCGTAAGACTTAGTCTAATTCGCTGTCAACTCTTTGAAAGAGATAAAGATTGTCCTCCAGAAAGAAAGCTGAAAACAAAAGTCAATGAAACCTTAATTGACCGAAAGTTGACGCCATCGGATACGAGGAAATCAAGTAGATTGGAATGTTTTCCGTCACTTGTTAGTGGAGAGGAGTCAATCTAGTTCGCTGCCAAATTCTTAAGATCCTTCTCCTAAACAATGGCTGAAAACCAAACTACTAAATAACTCTTTGCCCGAGAAATTTACACCAGTTAACATCAAGTAAAAATTATGCTTAGGTCATGACCTTTACAGGATTGTTCTTGAATAATTGTTTCGTTTATAACACAGTAAAATTGAAAAGGTTAGGGAGTATACCTGTAGTTTTCCTTACGCTATTTCATTGTGTAACTGAACATGTTTTATCTAAGAACGCTAATTAATCAATGAACATTGACAATATGACAAAAAAATATAATTTCCACCGTTAATTTATATGTAGAGCAAGGAATCTATAAATACCTTCAGGATGGCGGGAACACTTGTTCTTGCTGGCACGAAATTTGAAATGAAAGCCCCTTTATCTTATCTTAGGCTTTTATACAAAATGGACCGGAAGATTTAATGGAGAAAATGCATTCATTTTGACAAGACATTTTACATTTTTGCTCTTAAAAAATGTCCGCGACGTTTCAGTTTAATTACATCCGGGTCGCAACTCAGCTCGAAAGACTTCCATTTTGTACAAATAGCGATATCACGGATTTGCAATACTTGTTTTTTTTTAGTAAGCTTTTTGTCGTCACGTTTAAGAACGGTTAAATGGTAGCTTTTTTCAATCTAATGATTAGTTTGTACGTTCGATCTGACACAATTTGGTAATCGGTTCATAGAGTGTGTAATTGATAAGAATAAATATGATATTCATACTAGTCATCGATATTGATACAATCAAGGTGAACCTTGGATAGGACGTGATTCAGGACAATAATTTCAGTTTCCTACCATCATCATTCACAAGAGAATACAGGTATTTCGTGAAGGTTTTTCATCACCTTTCTTATTCTTTTGCCTTGCTCTAAAATAATTGAACGAGTGACCCCTCCTCTCATACCTATTTGCAGCTATTTTATCATTAAAGTTTCGAAACTAGGTGTGACATATAATGGCGCTTTCACATGTACGTAAATCGTCATCAATGATTTTACTACACGTACAATGTATTGTTAACATATGAAACTAAGCTGTGCATACCGTGATGGTGGACTTCTTTCACCGAATCGGATGCAAATATCCAGTTTGTCAGTTTCTCAGAACTTTCGCTTCGCATAAAAGTCACAGGATATTGATTTTCGAACGTAATGCGAACTAGTGTACTTGAAACCTCGATTTCATCGAAACTGAAAGGTGCTTGTCATGCAAATATGGAAAAAAGCAAAACAAAGGCGCGCAGTTAATTAACAAAATAAACCACACTTAACAACTTGAATTGTACGATTTTGTTGCAAAGTACACAGAACACAAAAAACTGCTAGTACACTAGTCTTTCCGAAAAAGAACTTAATATACAAAAGAAACACGCCTGGTATAAATCGCACATACAAACACTTATACATGTATAAAGCATGTCGCTGAGAATGTGCGTTTGAGAAAAAAGAAGATTTAGTATGCTCGAATTGCTTTAAAAAAAGCAGTTTTCTATCGCAGTATGCTGTCGGTTAACTTAAAAACTAGAAAAATTCGAAGTCTTGGAATGAGCGTCAGGAGCCTATCTAAAGGCCGCATACAAACTAAACAATTGTGCTCAACGTAACTTCCTAAGGAAGATAGTTATATCGTTTATCAAATCAGTAACGTGTGCGGCCCACGCAGTCTAATGGAAAATCATCATCATCATGAAAGCTGACGAGTATGGCTAGATGGGTTTGCCTTGGGTCAGTCCTGAAAAGCCCTCCGGCCCTGCACTCGCAGCGATCACTTGCATTTTACGAGAACCTTAAATCTATAGGTGGACTTCAAACGGAAAAGAAAGAACGTCGTGCTTTCCAATCAATTGTGAGTTTTTTTAATTGACTCGAAGAAATAAACAAATGGTTTTCATCGTAGAAGCTTCCTTCTTAGTATGTAATTCAAGCTGGCTTACAGTTTGTTTTGATATTTTGTCGTTTATCATTTTAATATTTGTAGTTAATAATGTTGTAAAGCGCTTTAGAATATTTTATAATTTTAGCGCTTTAGAAATGTAAATTATTATAATTATTATTATTATGTAATTTGCAGAAACTAGGACTTGTGTTGACGTGGTAATTACATAGCGAACAACGTACTCAATGGTGTGCCTGCCACACAACTCCCGCGCTTCTCTCCCTCCCTTGATTTACTCATTTTTCTTGTTTGCCTTATGCAGCGAAGGTTGTGTATCCTTTGTAGATGTGCACGTATCGACTACGACTATCATTCCCGCGACCCAAATACCTTTCCGTCCGGCCCGACCAAACTCATTTAAAAGATATGTTATCATATGACAACTAGGTCTTCAGAGCTTTGAATTCATGTCTTTGAACCCAAATAGAACGCGATTGATGGATCCAGTTATAAGAGCAGAATTTCAGTTTTTACCTGAAAGCCTCCAATCACCGCCTCGTCATTGTGATTAATTGCAAATGCATCACAATTATGTTGATTGACATAGAAAACGAAAGACATCACTTTGTTTAATTTTTGAAAAAGTGCGTTAAAGGAAAGATTTGTCACGTGCAAACTGTTTTTTAGCTTGGAAACTAATCATCTTTAATGACAAATTTTCTATTTAATATGCTCTTCGAACTTTAGTTCTAGTATACGTCGGAACAAGTGGTTGTGCATGGGCTTCATTTTGTCATTCCTCGCTCATCTATATGCCAGAACTTATAATTATGAGAGAGACTACATCGTTTAACCTTCAAAGCCAAGTTGAACTTTCCCTAAGTCGTTTGTTGTGCGTTCGAGTAATAAATGTTTTTGGAAAGAAACGTACGTCACAAATTTAAGCACGCAGGCGATATTTCACTTCCGGGTTATTGAGAAATTAAATCATCATCAAGAACTGAACTAATATGGGGATGCATCCTATAAAAGGTGTGCCTGTACGGTTGAAAAGTACACCAAATCGATCCAACCTAAATTTGTGGTTCATGTGTTTTCCATTCCTTTCCTCGATTCAGATATGAAGGTTGCTTATAAATCGTACTCGGTCGTTGTTGCAGTTGCTATTATTGCATCCTTTGGTAGGCCTGCCTGGTGCCAGAGTTGTGGAACGGAGGCATATGGAGGTAAGAAAAAACTGTCCCCCTCTATTTCCCTTTGAAATTTGCAGTTTTAATAACCGGTAATTCCTTTTAAGTGTTGACATATACTTGACAAATAGGACATATGCTCTTACTAATCCAACATGCCATGCCATGAGGCAGAAAAAGGAAAAGAATAGACAAAAAGGCTACAAAGCCATTGATTTGAGCTCATCTTTTTTCAAGATTACGTGAACGTCATTCTTAATTCTGTTGTTTCTTTGTAAAGCCCTTTCTTTATCAATGAAGTATCGTCTCCTTCTGGTCAGAACCAGAACCAGATAAAGGAACCTAAATTGCTGCCAGAACAAGCTGGGTGTGCTACACGTTGTAAAAAGTACAAGTACAATTGATTACGGTTGAGGAAAATTCAGATTGGAAGTTCACCAGTTGAGAAAGCTCTGCATAACATTAACAAAACAGAATCAAAAGTAGCACAGGTTACAGTACTTGAAGCATATGGATTGCCTAACCAACTCTTCGAAACATTTTATAGCATATCAACTACTAAACTTTTGCTACAGCTGAAAGCACAAAGTGAGACATTTTGGGGATTTAAGTGCTCACTGTAAAATATCTTTACAATATCTTCTCCAAATTCAATATATCAACCATGTTTTAAAACGTTCTCAATGTTGCGTTGTAGGTTCACCATCCGTGGACTTTTATGCAACAACGCCTGAAAAATTGCCTCATACACCTGATATGATGGGCATTGACAAAGCAGTCTCCGTGCTGCCCGGTTCGAATGTAACATTAGTATGCACTGCGAAAATGCCATTGGGATTTCCACCATATCTCCGCTCCTATTTGGAGCCTAATCTTATCAAGTTGTTCGTAAACTATTCCTTCATTCGCGAGTTCAACTGTGACAAAAAGCCTCGCATAGTCAAAACGTGCTCTTTGTCGCTCGTGAATGTGAAACCCGGAGACAAAGGAAAGTACTTCTGCCAGGCAGTCAACGAACTGGGATGCACCTACAAACAGCTGAAAGTCGCCGTCACTAGTGGTAGGTAACTTATTGTTTACTCATCCATCATGTGCGTTTCCTCTACATTTCTCTCTTTTACAGATCGTCTATCTATTCGTCATTTTCAGCTCTGACACATCCTGTATACCTTCCCACAAAAAAATTTGTCGGCTGCAATTTTTAGCAAGAATAAATTCATATTTTAAAACTTGAGTAGAATGACACGTAAAAGATAATAAATATAAATGAGATATAAAGACAAAACTTTTCCAAAAAAGAGAAAAGGTAAAAACTGGAATTTGATCAGAACTATCATGATTTTCGTGTTTTTTTAATAGCCCCTTGACACCCCCCGAGTGGCACCAGGCACCAACTCAACGCAGCCCAGCTCTATGCCCATTTTCTCTTGAGCTTTAGTCGACCCTTTTAGACAAAAGGAGGGAAAATTCATACAAGTTTTTATTGTTATCATATGTTTTGTGCCAACAACAGGTGAACGAGAAGGGCAGATGCTTGATATTCTTCATCGCCGGAAAAACATTTCGAGTAAAATCAAGCGAAATTTGAAATGAAATGCAATCTTTTCACCGGGTAATCAAACTTTCATTGTAAAACGCATAATGGAAATCTCCTCATGAATAAATGCTTTTTTTCCGCAAGATATTTGGCTTTTTAATCTATTATTACGTTCCTTTTCAAAGAATTTTCTTGGCAGACGAAAATGAATGTTTCGTTTTCATGACAAAGCATATGCATTATAAAAAAAATTAATAGCCCTCTAAACAACTTGCTAAGAACCCTTGCTATTTGACTCTAACAGATATTTAATATTGAACGTCTTTTAAACGAGATGTTGCTGCCAGCTTTCCAAGAATAAAGAGAATAGAGGTAAAATAAATTGTAATTCATGAGCCACTGCCTTGACCTTATTTGGAGAAATTGACAAAGTCTCGTTCATCGCCTTGAATCAGTAAACATTTTAGGAAAATTTCAGTTCAGTGGGATTTTGTTTTCAAGAGCCCTTGAATTTTGCTGTATCTATTTGCAAAAGTAGGGATTTATCTCGAGAGTAAATTGATGAAAAATATTTCATTTCAAGTTCAAATCAACGAGTGCATATTAGACACCAGGTCACCTATGTCTGTGTACCTGGTCCACAATCCCACCAGGTTTGTTTCAAATAGTTTTCAAATTTGCACATTTGGGTTCTTTTTGACCGAAAGTGAACGGATCAACTTCAGTTTTATTAGCTGATGTTTAACGTGATGTGCAACCAATTAAGGCTTGGGGTTTTGTTTACACTGCGAAAATGCAATGTAACAAAAGTTGTCAGCAGCTATAGAAAAGTAACTCAGCACCGCATCAAAGAAAGGTAAAAACTTTATTCATTTGGCAGAACTAAAACATAAAAAAATATGTCTATTACTTTGATTTTTCACACTGAATTTTGAATCAGTCTTACTGCCTTGATTTTTCCTTGCTTGGTCCTCGTAGTTTTATCTTACATTCCAACTTGCTATCTTGAACGTAGTTTTAACATACGAAGTAATAACTTCTTACTAAAACATTTAGTGATAAAAACGAGCGATAAAAAATATAAACGACGTTTCGACCGCTCCACGTTCATTTTCAAGTTAGAGTTCATGAGTAAATTTCCGCCTTTATACTATTTCTGAAACAATGGAATGAAGGTAAAAGCTAAGTATTTACATATAAACAATAGAGCTAATAACTAATAAAAAAGTGCAAAATGAAGTGTAAATAAGCGGTGAAAAGGATGAAAATTAATATGAAGTGTTAAGCGAACAGCTTCGCGCGAAAAGAATCGCTCTCTTTGTTCAATTTTGGCTAAGGTCCCGAAAATCAAATAATCCAACTTGTTCGAGCATTTCCTCAGGACCCTAAAGTTCTTCGCGACTTCACATGGTTCGATTCCATGTTCTCTTACCTGGTTGCCGATTACCGATCGTTTATGTTCCTCCACACGTTGATGTAGGTGTCGGCTTTTAAAGCCGACAATCTGTATCGCACAGATCATACTTAAAAGAGATATACAACCTTTTTGGTTGTTGACAATTGGAGGTTTAGGTTCCTTAACTTTGAGCTCATCTTTGATCTTGCGGCTTGTAAAAACAGTAGTTTTAACAATTTTGGTTTTGCAGTAAATGGTTTGAACCCGGGGGTAACATGTGAAGGTGTAGTCTGATCGTCCGGGTGAGTGTAGTCCTGAGAAGGACTGTTGTCGGTGGTAGTGACTGACGTTTCCACAACCTGTGCGGAAGTCATCATCAGAGTCACTCGACTCTGATGATGACTTCCGCACAGGTTGTCGAAACGTCAGTCACTACCACCGACAACAGTCCTTCTCAGGACTACACTCACCCGGCCGATCAGACTACACCTACACAATTTTGGTTTTCCATACTTAAAGTGCACCTAAACCCAAAATTTTTTTTTCGCTTAACGAAATAAGCTTATTTTTTGGAGTATTTCTGTGCAAAATTTTTTTAATTTGCTCAAATCTTTAATTTTCTATGCCCAGTCAAAATACGGAAAATCGGCCGCCATCTTGCCCCACGACCGAGTTTAAAGAAGAATGGCTCTAATGTGACGTCAAATCGAGAACACAAAAGTCTGCATCTCACACATTTTCACTTGTTTGGGAAGATTGTCGTTGATATTGTCCGAAATATGCCGACTAGATGTGTTGTATGAAGAATGTATGAAGCGCGATACCCTCTTGCAAATTTCGCACGTTGCTACATCCTTCTACAACACACTTAGTCGGCATATTTTCGGACAATTATCGACTACAACCTTCCCAAACAAGTGAAAATGTGTGAAATGCAGACTTTCGTGTTCTCGATTTGACGTCACATTACCCACTAGAGCCATTCCTCTTTAAACTCGGTCGTGGGGCAAGATGGCGGCCGATTTTCCGTATTTTGACTGGGCATAGAAAATTGAAGATTTGAGCAAATAAAAAAATTTTTGCGCAGAAATACTCAAAATAATAAGCTTACTTCGTTAAGCGAAAAAAATTTTTTGGGTGTAGGTGCACTTTAAGACTTAGAGCAGGAAGTTTGTTGTAAAGGAAATTTCAGAATTGGCATTTAACAGTTTTCAGTACATTAAAAACCTTTGGTAAAAAGTGTTACTTCTTATTTTCTCTAAACACTAACATTTCCTCTAATGTGTGTTTTTCTACATGGCGAATGTAAAACATGCAAATTTGGTTGAGCATTTTTTACACGCCTTTTGGTATACATACAGCGTCTTCTCTGCTGCGAATTCTACACTTCTACTTGGTTACCAAAGTCATCGCTCTTTAAGTTAACATACTCTCTCTGAAACGAAAAAAGATCAACAAATCAATTAAACCAGAGCAAGGTAAAAAAAAAAAAAAAAACAGAACATCTATTTGCTTGTTCATCCACTCCTTGGTCGTTTTGTCAAAGTGTCTATCAATTAGTATAATCACTGCAACCAAAGTCGAATTTATTTCTATACAAAATGAAAATGGAGAGAGGTTCATTCTAGACGTGAATACATACCTTGTATTCTACACGTGAGAACTTCTCCAGTTGTTCTACAATACATGCAAAAGTGGGCCTCATTAAAGGATTTCCATCCCAACAGCAACTCATCAACTCATACCTACAAATACATTTGGAGATCAGTCAAATCCTAATCTGTCCGCTGACAACATTTCTGGAAGTCGACTGTTTGAAAATGACCAGTGTCAAGACAACAACTGGACATCAAAAAGAGACTAAATATAGTTCTTTAACCCACCGTGGTTTGCAACAATTAAGAGGACAAAGCATCCGGTTACCACACGATAACCACTCAATGAGGTCCTCTACTGCGAATATATCAGGGTAAGGGAGCTTTCCTAAAGGATAATATGTAAGTGTTACCAAACAATTCTAAGGTCAATATATGGTTGCATTTGGTTTTTAAACCAAGTTCTCTATTTTTGTTGTTTTATGGGCTAAGTTTCTTAATGCAACGAGACCAATACTCATAAACAATCTACTAGACAACACACATTTCACATTGTAAGGCCAAAATTTTTACATCAAACAACTTTGCTTGAGCTTGAACAACGCAAGCAATTTGAAAAGTACATCTGAGAAGTTCGGTTCCCAATAAGGGACAAAGGATAGTGCCTAGCTACTCATATACAATACAATGAAATACACTGTCTTGCCCTATTATCTAATCAATGGGAGTGGTCTTAATTTTGATGAAATGCCGTTAGAGCATAAAAATAAGTTCAAATTGATTCCCCAAAAAAACAATTGGTATGTAATATCTTCTAAACTGTTTTGCATCAACTCACCATAAGTAGCAATTTCCCACAACAAAATTCCAAAGGACCATCTACAATTATGAAAAAGATGTCTAACTGAGTTCTTGTACCTAGTAAACTTGTTGTTACTACAATTATCTACAAAACAATTTTATCACACTCTACTGTCAATAGAGGTTTTGCACAGCAGCCATGTTGGTGGCAGGAACAATGAAAATGTTTTGCATAAGAAAGACAATTTTATCCCATAGTTAAAATAATCTATTGTTCCTGCCATCCAACATGGCTGCTGTGCAAAACCTCTATTGCGGCGAACAGTTACATAAAGTTTTCCTGAGGAAGTTTATCCCGCTTCGTTCTTAATCATTACTTTGTATTTCACCTGGTTGACGAAATCCCAATTCTGAGAAGACGCTTATTCAAATGATTCCCCCCCCCCCAAAAAAAAAGGGACGTAAACAACAACAAAAACCTGAACAATAGAAAGCTTGTCCGAAAGGTTTTAATAGCAGCTCAGTTAAAGAGTAGTAGTCATTTTCCCAATTAACTTGTCTCAAAACTGAAACAGGGATGGTGTGAATGTACTTTTTCATGAATCTGGAAAAGAAACTAGTCACCTGTCTCGTTATAAAGTGAACTTACATGTATAATCAATTACATCCACACGGACGAGAGGGGAGAGGGTCGGTTTTTTTTTTTCGAAAAGGGCGTTAATTCGAGACTTGGTATGAACTTACATGATACGTAAGACATCAAAATTATCACAAACTTACACGTCGCTTTTGGATGTGTAGACCCCAAATTTTAAGGATTCTAAAGAAGACCACCTCCATGGAACTCCACCCTATCAAAATATAAAAAGCATACTTCACTCTTCATGTTTTATTACATAAATTATTCAAACCAACCGGCCGTACCTATTAGAAAGCTAGTTCTAGAGAGTACAAAAAGCTGAGTTAAAAATCTGGTTGAACGATGGGCATCGGCCTCTGAACAACTTATAAATGAGAATTTGCTAATTCATTTTTCAATTTTTTTTCATTTAATCGTACTCACATTAGAGGTCTTGGTATAAATGCCTCCGTCTGAAACGTCTCTAGCCAATCCAAAGTCTCCTACTTTTGCTATCTTGTTTGCGCCAATAAAAACATTTCTCGCCGCTAGGTCGCGATGAATGTACTGATAAAGAGAAAGACACACGCGTGATCTCAACTGTCAGATTCATGATTGACAAACAGGCACTCGACGACATGGAAAGTGGGTTTGAAAATGCTGCAAGCGTCCCTTGAGTGTTCCAAAAAGGAATGTTTCATTATCCCACAGTCTCTGAGAACCTGACTATAAGATTTAAATTTAAATGAAAATATGATACTCTAAATATTTCGCTCCCATTGAGTCTAAGCTGGCATGAAATGAGTACTCGTATCCTTTCCCAACTCCATTGGGTCACCATTACAGGCAAACCTCTGGCAGTTCCTAACATTGCCCTGGTGTTTTCTTTTCTTCTGACATTCATTCATACTCTTGACTGGAGGAAGGCATTGCGAAGTGAACATCACACAACACAATGAACTGACCAAGGCTTGGGCCCTTCCATCCTGATCGGGTATGAAACGCCGCCACCGGCTTGCTCTGATAAAAGTTCATCCCCATTGAGGAAATTTTATTCTCAGTTAACCTTTCCCGTACCTTCTTTTCTTCCAAATGTTGCATTCCAAGGGCTACCTGTAAGGAAACTTGTAACAGCTCTCGCTCAGTCATCCGACATTTTACGTTCTCATATTGGTTTTTCCCGCAATTACGAGGTTTAGACCTCAATAAACTTTCCAGGCTACCTCCAGATACCAGCTCTGTTATTAGCAGAATATTATCTGAAGGGATTGAAAACATACATCTGTTAATCTTTAAACTCGTATGCCAAATTCGCGAGTCAGTTTCCATAAAACACACAATGAAATACGCCGTTTCTTATATATTCCCTGAAGGGGAGCTTAGATTGCGAATACTTAACTTAATTCCTGAGTCAAGAAATGGCAATATTCCCCTATCCCCTTACCCCCACAACCACCTCGTTAAGCCTTTCGGTCCATTCAGTTTGTTTTGCCAACAACTGCATTAATTGTAACTACAGTAGTTGCAATGGTGACAATGGAAAACTGATGTAAATACCGGTATAATACGCACAAGTTTGACTACATTCAGTTGGAAGGAATCCAGAAAAAAGCTATCGAATTTTGTGCCTCAGCTTTTTTCCCCTTAGATTGTACTTAAGACAAAGAACAATTTACCTTCTTGAGTGCAGGCACCAATAAAACTGACTATGTTAGGATGCCTTCCAGCCTGCTTCAGCATCTTTATCTCATTGAGTAGGTCGTCCTTATCGCACCTTGAAAACGCAGCTATACCACGTGACGAGATTAAAAAATAATAGTAATATTAAAAAATCAGATAAACACACAAACAAATTTTTGTTGCTTTAAGGCCTCATTGCGAAACTCTTCGAGGGCTACAGGCATTGTGGAACGAACAGACTGAATCATTTTGGAAATCTAGACATTGTTCCCTTGTTAAGGATTTCTATGAGGGTGTGCTAAAGCAAGGTACAGTGAAGTTCGCTTCTGACAAGTTGATCAGAAATAGAGGTCTGTCCGTTTTACGAGACAATTTAGAAAAATAAAAAAACAACATGTATGGAAAATTAGACAATCCTTGTTTACTTTCTTACCTTTACACTGTTTCACTGCCACCTCTTCACCACGATAAAACCCTTTTTTTACAATTCCAAATCCTCCTTTTCCGAGCACTTCATCAAGGACTTTTAGTTCATCCCACCGGATTTGCCAGGCGTTCCTGTTCTCCAGAGGCATCTCGGAAATGCTCTCTCTGCTCTCTGCACTATCATAACCACTATCTTTACTTGACAAATTGCTCTGCATAGTGCTTTGGTTTTCTGGGACTGTCATGCATGAACATTTCATCTGCTTTTCTGTGCTACCTTTTTTGACGGGTTTTGGAGGTCTTTCTGGATAGAAATTGTCTGAATTGTTAAGCCGTGAGCACAACTTTGTGCCAAGTAAAGAATTTTTATCTGGAATTTCAACTCGTATTTCCGTTAACAATGAATGCCCGTCAGCATTTACCGAGGTAATCAGAGGCAAAGTTACTGGCTCTTCATCTGGTTCTGCAGACGTCTCAATATGGTTCGAGTTGTTCGTAGTTCCGAATTCTTCTTGCAAACGTACAAGCGCGGTTAAATCCTCGGATGAAAACTCTTCATGCGCTCGTATTACAATCAAAGGAAGTTCGTCTGCATTTGCAGGAGTAGGATTCCCAGGGTCCCTTCTCTACATCCAAGAAAAAATTTTTTTAAAAAATTTAGTGGAATTTGAAGCTTAGAGTGACTCCAATTATCAAGAAAAAAGGTGCACCATAGGTTGTTGACAGGTGCAAATATGCTAAGGGGTGCATATTGATATAATTTTGCAGGTGAAAAGGGTTTCTACACCAACATGTTACCGAAATTTGCAAGCATGCCATTACAAATAGGAGAAAGAGGAAGATCAGAAGGGAGGGAACAAACACCCTTTGACCCCTCCCCCCCCCCACCCTCATCTCTAACGCCCTTGCAGTAGTTTTCCGCACAATGAACACAAGCGAACACAAGACCAATGGTGTAAAAAATGTTTTAAAATTCGTAACTTACACGTTGAACTCCTCGACGAAACCACAGAAAACCTCCAATGCCAAAAACTACCAAAGCTGAGATGACACTGGGTACCACTACTGCGATCATGTTTCGTTCTGAACTTCCTCTGCCATTTAAAAAATTGTGTGTTTCCGGTGACCTTAAAACTGAAAAGAATGCGTTGTCATGTTATAGGTCAGTTCGCAAAGTTTTAAATCTGTTTTTCATACATTTTGTATTACATTACTGGATCTGGTTGACAGCCATTAACATTCTTTTATGAAATGAATAAAATATTTTTAGGAATCAGTTAAAAAGCAAACACAAGAACAGATGAACAGTAAAACATTTTTGCTACAAATATAAATATCTGCTTAAACCTTTCGAACCCTAAGAGTGACTAACATGTAATTTCTCAATACAATATTTTCTCTGAGTCAAACATTAAAGGTCACAAGAATGAAGGCTACCAAGCTCTCGAGTGTCACACAAATTCTCCTTGTTTACACCCCAGAAAAAGTGCTGAGAACAGCGTGGAGAATATGCATAGTAACGTTGTGGTGTGAACAGTTAACACAGGTTTTCTTTGTATCTACTTACTAGTAGTTACCGGTGAGCTGTGGTATACCCCTCCTTGTACTGTCTCATCTTCAGAAGTCTTGTTGCTAGCACACTGATTTTTGCCATAATCAGTGCAGTTTATCGTCACATTGGGCTCAGGTACAATACTTTGGTTAGTTGGAGCTTCAGTTGTCTTTTCTGCGGGTGGAACACCTACGGAGGAGGAAGGTGGGATTTTAAAAGTTTTTAAGATTGTGTTTTGTCCAGTCAGCAATGATGCATACCCTTTTGATCGCTGTTAGTTAAAGAACTTTACTACAGAGCCCAATTAAAATATTATTATCTCATATACAGCTGTCTTGAGAAAGGTTATCAGAAAACAACTATAAATTGCAATTGACAACTGTTAAAAGTAAGTAGTTTCAGTTTAAAATTCTTTGACTGACCTCAGGATTTCAGTGAAATCTGAGAGAACATTACTGCAAGGATGAAACAGCAGGGTTTAATGAAGTTATTAATTTATTTAATTCATTGAAATTTTATGATTCCTGTATACCCTGTAGATTTAACTCTTCAAGATTGTTTTGTGCACATTTAGCTTTTTTCCAACGACTGTTCTTGAAACAGCTGTATATGAGTTCTTAATGGATGATATTTAAACATTCAGCAGCTACATTTTTTGTCACAATTGGTTAAAGATTGAACCTCCTTGGGGACCAGGTCAATGCTATATAAAAATGTAAAGATTGGACCTCCTGCAAAAAAACTTAGGACTGAGAGGAGAACAGGTTTTTCCAAAAAAAAAAAAACAAAACTTCGTTAGGATTAGTGTCCTAGCTATCATTTAATGCTTTGGTCCCTTAACACTTTGGTAGACATCAATTTCATTGCAAATGGTCCATATTCCTAGGGTAATAACTTAATTAGCCTTATGCATCCATATATACTGGCTCACCAATGACTGACATTTGGTTGACAAATAATCATTATGTTTTGTCTACAATCAATCATTTCAGTTGTTTCTTTAAAGAATTGCAATACGTTCTTCCTTCAATGCCATGTATGCGCTCTGCATGGTTTGATTATCAAGTCTTGCATCAATCAGTGCTAGGCGATATTCCAATAAAATATCACTGCATCACCATAGATGATTGTAGTCACAATACTAAATACACCTTTCTTACCATGAATATCAATTTCAAAGTGTTTTATACTGCAGTGGTAATTTGAAGTACTTGCTTGGCAAGTGTAGTTACCAAGCTTCTTTGACGTCAGGGAGTCAATGACCAAAGAACATGTCAGAGAGGTATCTGCTGACTTCGCCCAACATCGTTTTTTGAACTCTTTGCCATAAAACCAGTTAATAAAAGTTGGCTTGGAATCATATCTGTGTGAATAGTCCTTATTTTCCTGTGCAGTGCAAGTGACATTGACAGGTTCACAAAAACAAAATTCACTGGCTGAAGTTATTTCAATGATAGGTTCAGCTTGAGGAGAGGAAAAAAAACATAAATTAGGCAGGATAAAAAAGTGAGGAGGTACCTTTGCATAAAAGAAGAGCTAGGACTATTACAAAATATACATAATTGAGAAAATAGATATATTGAAAAAGGCATGCTAATGCATAATGCATAAAAGGCTAATGCATAATGCATAATGCATAAAAGGCATGCTAATGCATGCTAATCCTCTTGAAAAAGGCATGCTAATGCATGGTGACTAAAATGCATATGGACATTTTTCTTTGCCATTCATAATTTCTGGTGTCTAAATTAAATAATGAAGAAAGCTTACTTTTCCTTGGTATATAATGACAGGTTTGGCACATGATGGAGGGGAAGATTACTGAAGCAGTAGCAGCAAATAGTAGTATAGACTGTGTTCTGCTTTCTACCCATGGTTTTTTGGCTACCATCTCATGTGCTAAGCATTACAATTGGAGGAAGGTGGGTGAGTTCTTGGTCCAAGGAATCTATATATGCTGAAATAAACATTTAAAAACGCCACATGATGAGAGGCATGCCAAAATGTGGCAGAGAAGTTGAGCTTTGGACTAGTGAGCGTAAGTTAAATAGAGGACAGAAAACCTGAAACTTTTACATCTTGAAGCCTCATGACCATGCCCACCCGCCCCTCCCCCAACCTCTCACCCAGGTTAGTAATAAGTAGGGTACAGAGCTTTTAGACAATATCCTTTGGAGGATATGACAGCATCCCAGTGTATATGTGGATCCCCTTGATGATACAATAAGTCTGAACTACAAAGCTGAAAGATTAAGCTCAGATTCATGATTCACAAACAGACTGTAGCCTCTACTTGTTTTGCAAATAATTATGCTCAAAGATACATTTGTGAATGAACAATGTACCTGTTTCAAAAATGAAAAGATTTTCAACGCTAAAGGAAAAACTAGAGCTCTCACAGTATGTCTTAGTTTTACATTGATTCAACTTTGAAAGTCAGAAGCTCTCTTTTAGCCTAACAGCTGAATTATTTTGTAACTAAAAATCAGCATGTAATTTGAATCACTTGATTTAAAACTACTGAAATCATTCGAGCAGCATTTCCCAGGGTGGAAAACTTACTTGAGAAATTAAGGAAGTTTCTTGGGCCATGCATCGGATTCTTACTCACGCAGTTCAAGTGATACTGAATTCAGAGCACAACGTAGTTCGTACAGCTGTCTGAGAGATGATCAATCTTGATCTCCTTGTTATGCTGTTAGAGCATTAAATCATTTGCTTTCAGCTGAACGCTGAAAGGAAAATCCTCTCGTTGCTGAAAGCAAAGGTATGTTTGTTCTATTTCTGTGGCATACTCAATGCCTCTGAACCATCTACACAAAAATTAATAAGCGATAAAAGGCTACCCTGAGCGCCTCAATCTCCATAATTGTTTACTAGTTACCAGGGTTCCAAATAAACTCTCCCCTAGCGTTGGCGCGTGCCTATTCAATAACTTCAGTTACGTTGTCAGATGGTCCTTGAATATTAGAAATGAAGGGCCGGGATAAGTGTGGCAGCGGTGTTTGACTTTTGGTGCGTAAAATTTCGAGGTAAAAGTATATTCCGTTGAGATCTGAATGTAGGTCAATTCTTTTTTTGAGGTGAAAATGCAAGCTACATCAGTTTGCAACTTATTTACTGTTTATTCATATATTTATTTGTCGATCTGCCTACTAATAAATCTAATTATTATTTCTTTTATGTAGTAACTTATTTGATTCTTACAATCTTTCTCTCAGACCTGTTCAAATTTGTACTAATATTTTAGGAGATTGGTTAATCTACAGCTTGGGTAAATGGTCCAGATGCATGATATGTGGTGAAGTTACAATTAATTACAGAACCTCGCATCAAGTTCCTAATTATCTTAGTTATTTGTTACCCGAGGCCTACACGTCACCTCTCAATCATGTGCTTGAGAGACCCAGATTTAGAAAAGATTTCTGAAGTTCTCCTGGAAAAGGTGGAGCAAGAGTACCATATAACCCCATGCATTAATTATGCATTAAAACTAGTAGACTTAGTTTTTAAAGTTTTGTCGTGAAAGACAAAGAAGTGGAATGCATAATTAATGTATGGGGTTATATGGTACTCTTTCCAAAGGTAGGGTATTGTGATCACACACTTCATTCATTGTGTAAAAGTACCTCTCAGTTAAGTCAGGTAATTTCCAGGAAAGGACAGGGCCTCTAGTGTTTTTAATTCATTACCCTGTGCTGCAAGGAACTCTGTAATTCTTGGTGAAATTAAAACTCAAGTTAGGAATTATCTAGTAAGTAAGGCAAATGTATGTTTGATTTCTTGATTTGTATGTATATTCATGATTAACAATCTTCTGTCAGTAGCATCCTTAATGTTATACATAACTACAGCTTTTTATTAATATCACTTTTGTTAGGATTATTTTTAAATATTTTATAATATTCATAATTTCACAGATGAAGAACCACCTTTCAGTGGAAATACTTTAATTAATTGAGTCATCAATATTATATAATTATTATTATTTATTGGTTAGTTTAGTTGTACCCTTAAGCTAAGCATACATCAGCTTAATGTGGGTTCTTTTCTCAGACATGGTTCAGATCTGTTTTCATGAATGTTTTTTTTCACCCTTTGAATGTTGCTTTTATCCATCACAATCCTGATACCAAAGATGAATTAATGTCTATTAATTTCTGGGTAGAGACAATCATGGTAGGTTTATTATCTCATCTGCACAACTTGTCAGTGAAAAACCAGTGTGTATCATCTCCACATTATAAATAAAGTTTTAAGAATCTCTATATAATCTTTATAAATTCAGAACAAGTTACATATAGAAAAGGCCAGATTCTGCATTTAATCTTCATAAAATGCTGAACGAAGAACAAGATTCTTTGTAGAAGATTCAGAGTTGTATGTGTATAAAAGAATAAACATTTTTGTATTCAAATGTAGTTTTCCTTGATATCAAAACTCCCGACACTCGGCAAATATTACCAGCCTCACAATTTTTCTGACTGTTCTTTATGTTTTAAAGTATTCAACCAGAATGATAATCATATGCTATGGGTTTGATTGTATTAATTATAGCTATCTTATTTAACTCTTCTGTAAAGTGTGTGTAAGTTAATGAAATATGTCTTAACCTCCTCTGCCTGGTTGACACCAACACATTTTGTGATTTTTGTTGTTGTTGGTGTTGTAACGTTAATTTTGTTTTCTTGGTGATCAATAATTTGTACACATAAAACTTTAGCTGTGAATTTGTAGCTATAGTTATATACCAGTTTCTTGTGTCAAATACATATTGCGATATGATAGGGTTTGTTTGTTTGTCAGTTTCCTCAGTGCACTAACAGCACTGAGACTGAAGGTTTCAGACTGTCAGCTCTGAAGGGTTCAGACTGTCAGCGCCGAAGGGTTCAGAGTGTCAGCGCTGAAGGCATAAGACTGTCAGCTCTGAAGGCATAAGATTGTCAGCGCTAAAGGCATAAGACTGTCAGCTCTGAAGGCGTAAGACTGTCAGCTCTGAAGGGTTCAGACTGTCAGCTCACTTTGACTTACTTTTTTAAATCAAATGCTAGTTAATGTCCACTGATCGTATACTTAGGCTGTCATCACTCTTGGATTGCCTACATTTTACTTGCAACACATCGCACTGTTTTTGACATTAAATAAATGATGTCAAAATAAGAATCCCATATGACACCTTTTCGCACGGCTTATGCCATAGGGCCGAGCACTTGACCCCTGAATGAGACAATATTTTGGACTACATTGTATCTTTATTTGAACAACTTAGAATTATGCATGAGAAACATTTCCCAAAACCTGCCATGAACTTTCCACCAAGACAGACCTGACAAACCGCGTCATTACCTGAGCATCTCCCTTGTGAATGCTTCGGAAAACTATTTTGATATTATTACCGGGAAATCAGCGGCCGAAAGAAATTTCCATTGACGCGGAACGGCTCGTGCTGGAGTACGTTACTTAAAATGATATTTTACTGACTCGCGATCGTACAGCGCTTTATTCATGAATCACGAGTTTTGAACAAACTGTAGCTTTCGTTTTCCTTAAGAACTTCCCATCCCAAAATATCGTTCAAAGGAGAGCGCAGGAACTAACCGACTGCCAACAAATTTCGTTTCTTTCAGGAAGATGAAATTTACGTTAAAATGTATTTAAACAAAGTATGCCCAATTTTTGTCCAGATTTTTCAGGCTCTCATACCGATATTTACTGATCTCGGATTAGCAGCATCGGAAACGAAACTCAAACTGAATTAAACTCTTCTGACTTCGATGTCACAATTTACGATGTATCGATACTGATAGCCTCAGTGTTTACCTCTTTCATATGAAAGTGCCATAGGGAATGAATTAATAGATCCCAAACCGTCTTATTATTTGCGTGGAACCGGGTAAAGTTTGAGACTAACCTTGTGAATGGAGTCAACAGCTTTCAGAGCGCTCTGCTAGAAGTAGATTCAGTGGTTTTTCAGTGAATCAACAACATATTTCGCGATGCGTCTATGTGTATTTATAAGATATGGATAAGTCGTGAAACGCTTCGTTCCAGTGTGCGCTTACCAATCGCTAATAAGCAGTAAGAAACTTAAATAGGCGTTGTTCGGTGAAAACTATCGTTAATATTTTCCTCGAGGAGACATTGTATTTTCGTCCGGTTACGTTTTCTTTCCTGAATATGCCTAATGTGTTACAGCAGTGTAACAAGGTCAGGGGTTTGTCCCTCATTTCCGTTTTTCATCATCTGTCAGAACTGTGCTCGCTACAGTCTTTTGTAAATGTCGTGGTTAGAGGTCGTGAACGATTGAAATACTTCCTGAATCGAAAGACCTGTTGGGTAGAGTTTTCTTCGGAACCACCCGTCAATTCAGGGGGAAATTTTCTGTCTTGGAGAGAGAATGCTTAGTGGATTTGATACCGGGAAATTTAGCGCAGGCGAATATTTCATCTTTGTTTTAAGGTTATGCAAGGTCATCTACAGCTTTAAAAGTGATTTGCGTCAAAGTGACGTTTGTCATTGTTTTATGTTGATGGGTGTTAAGTCAGGAGTCCTCAGTAACGCTTCAGTCGATAAGCATTTACCGACCAGTTGCTTGTAAACGTTATCGATGACTTGTACAGTATAGATATCCAATTAAGTGGGTTAAATCAAATTGACCTGGAGTCAGAAAGTCCTTTTGATAAAACTCAAGAGGTCTGTAGGAGCGTAGCGTTACCAGCGGAAAAACAAATTAAACACAGGCACAAAATTCTTGGAAACAGAACAGAGAAACTTTTTCCCCTTTCATTTGCCGGCTTCCACAAACCACATCACGTAGGAAATCCAATTTCTTTGAATTAGTAAAGGAAAACATGGGTGGGAAAATGAATCTGCGCACATGACGTACATTAAGCCAAGAATCCTTTACAAGTAATTACTAAGAACAGATGAAGCCTTGTCGCCCTTCAGTTCTCCCACTTGTGAACTACTAAATATTCTATCAGTTGGTCTTATTATTGTTCCACTTTCACGACAGATAAATTGACCGGAAAACGTCCACGTAAGGCAAAAATTGTTGACCGCCTCCCGGTTAGTTCAATGGATAGAGCACTGGACGGTTGTGTGGGAGGTCGAGGGTTCGAGCCCCGGCCGGACCAACACTCAAGGTCTTAAAATAATTGAGAAGAATATGCTTCCTTTCTATAACATCAAGAAATGATTAGATATTCTAGTCTTCTCGGATAGGGACGAATAAATGGAGGTCCCGTCTCCTGCAGGGGTGGGATGGTTGGTTGTGAAGGCCGTTAGTTAGATAACTCATTGGGTTAATTGCGTCACCTTCGTTAAATAAACAATATTGTATTGTATTGTATTGTAGATTTTTTCGAAACTCGTCCAAGAGTACGTATGCTATGTCACGCTCAAAAAACAATGATAACAAGTATTAATCACTACACATAATCACGCAAAATTCTGTCATATAGATCTGCTTGACACAAAACCAATTGCAGTAGTAATGACCGCCATAAAGAAAAGGCAGTTTCAATAATAATAATAATAATAATAATAATAATAATAATAATAAGACATTTATAGAGCGCCCTTTCCCATGGGTCCAAAAGCGCTATTTACAAAGTCACGATTAAAAAATAGTTTAGAAGAAATAAAATTAGTTAAGATTATAAAACACCAAGATCATTTCATTAATTTAAAAAGCACGTGTAAAAAGAGCAGTTTTACAGTTAAACTAAGTGAAGCGTACCCCTCAAGGTTACATTAATGAATAGATCATTTGGATATTGAACCCGCCAGTCGTTTCAAGAATGCAATAATTAATTGATTATTTGATTATTGAATCCGCTAGCCGTTTCACGAATGCAATAATGGATTGATTATTTGAATATTGAACCCGATAGCCGTATCCGTTTTGAAAAGGCGCGGATCATTGTTCAAATTAGAAGTCCATTTCTGAAGTCCAATAAGATTGTTCTATTTGACGAGGAAACCTGAAAATGAACAAATTACACTTTAAGAACACTGCGAAAACAGTCGATGGCAAATATTAACCATACTTAGTAGAGGGGACCCTACTGACTATGTATTAACGAAATAAAACAAGTCTTGCGATGGCTTCGCCCGTAAACTATTTTTTTCGACCATGAATACACACAAGAATTTTTACAAGTTCGTCAAGATGTAAATAGGCGAAAAAAGCTCTCGATAACATTCCATTTACAACATTAACAAGAAGTTCTACACAACACGCGAACTCACCTTTCCCGCCATGTCTTACGCCGTGTTGAAATAGTTCCGATCCATCATCACGTGTTCGCATAATCCAATCAGAAATGGACTTCTGATTTGAACAATAATCCGCGCCTTTTTAAAACGAATACGGCTACCGGGTTCAATATTCAAATAATCAACCCATTATTGCATTCTTGAAACGGTTAGTGGGTTCCATGTTCAAATATTCAATTCGTCATTGCGCTCCTGAAA